CACCTGGGCCATCCTCCACTGCACTCCCTGGCCACAGCAGAGGGCTGGCCTGGAAGAGGGGCAACCGGGACAGAATCCGGCGCCCCGACCGGGACTAGAACCCGGTGTGCCGGCGCCGCTAGGCGGAGGATTAGCCTATTGAGCCGCGGCGCCGGCCTAATAAACTGATCTTTTAATCCCATGTTCTACAAACATTTGAAGCAGACACTTTTCTCTCACTTTATTTCAAAAGCAGACACAGAAAGGTATCCCACCTGCAGGTTCACTCTCCAAATGCCCGGGCAGAACCAGGCCAAAGCCAGGAGCACCGATGAATCCAAGTTTCCCAGCTGGGAGGCAGGGACCTGATACCTGAGTCCTCTCACGCTGCCTCCCGGGAGCGCACTGGCCAGAAGTGAGACCAGGAAGCAGAGCTGCAGTTGGACCCCAGACACCCTGACATGGAAGAGGACAAACTAAGCGGCACCCTAACACTGCGCCAAACGCCTACCCCTCAAGTTATTTCCATCAGTGAGCAACTGTGGTCAGCCTAGACCTACGTGGATTTCATATCTGCACTCTCCTGACAGAAAACACCCGTGGAAAGGCCTGAAGTGAGGGTAGAGTCTAGCAGGTGGAGCTGGTTGTGTGGCAGTGGGTTAAGCCAGTACCTGCAATGCACACGTCCCATGCACGTCCCATGTGGGTACTGGGTTCGAGTCCTGACTATTCTACTTCTGATCCAGCACCCTGCTAGCGTGCCTGGCAAAAGCACCAGGAAGGACCAGAGTACTTGGGCTCCTGCCACCCATGTGGGAGACCCAGATGGAGCTCCAGGCTCCTACTGTCAGCCTGGCCCAGCCATGGTTGTTGCAGCCTTTTGGGGTGTCAACCAGTAGGTGGAAGTCCTTCTCTGTCTACCTCTCCCTGAAACTCTGGCTTTCAAATAAATACATCTTTATAAAACTTCTTCAAGTACTGATGTTTTTAGAGCCACAGATCTGCAGTCCCAGCTCTGCTCCCAGTTTATTAACTCTTTACTTCTCAGGCCTGTCTTCACTCTGAAGCCCTGGCACTCAGACCCCTGGACTTCTAGATGCTGGATGGGACAGGCAACGTTACAATGTTTCTGCGACAGTAAGGATGGATGACACTAGACAAATATCTTGAAAGAAATTACAAAAAGGCAAGTTGTAAAATAGCAAAATCTCGTCGAGGATAAAATACAAGTACTCTGTCTGGACGCACTGCTGCGCTGCCGGTTTATATTCTTCTTCTTTGTTTCAGGGGACGACCCGCACACACATCTCCCAGCCTGTCCTCCGGGGGCTCTGGGACGGATGACGTCACCTGTTTGCAAAGGAGAAAGGAACACTGAAGCTGAGCTTCCACAGTGGGAGAGAGAGTACGCTGCGAGAAGACGTGGCAGAGACAGCCAAGTGTCCCATCCCTGCCCTCACCGTTAGAACAACTGGCCTAAGAAAAGTACAGCTGAAGACCTAGCACAGAGCAGAGGTCTCTGCCATTGACGGGAGAAAACCATGTTGAGGACAGAAGTGAACGTGTGCTCTTTAACAGTCTTCACTGAGCTAAAGGCCTCCCTCAGCCACACTGTAGCTACCACAGCTCTGTCAGATCACCCGTGACCCCTGGGGTTCAAGAAAGAGGCCGCCTGTGACCCTCCGTTCAGGAGTTCAACCCCACCCACAGAAAGGTCCCCTTCCAAAGCTACTCCAAACAGTGCCTTTCTCTCACGTGTGCCCAGGAAGTGGAGAGGGACTACGTGAAGATGGCTAAGCAGCACAATCCCACTCTAGGCTTAGAAGAGGCTGACAGTTCGTGCAAACCTCACGGCCCGATCTAAAGTTTCGCCCCTGCAGCCTTCCCACACATCAAGGCCAAAGCAGCCTTCTGAGTCGGAGGTAACCTGCAGGAGCTTTGAACTCCAGAGACAAAACGTGCAGCCGCTTTTCTCCTCCCCCCGGGCTCTGCTCAGCTCCCTAGGCACTTAAGCAGGAGGCCTGGGCTCCGTCTCGGGGACTTTACACGCCGGTTCACGTTCGACCAAGAATAACAACCACAGCAGATGAGTGTTAGGCGACTCAGCTAATCAGCAGAGGGCTGTAGACACCACAGCGAGCCCCCGTGGCTCCTCGCGGCCCTACAACCGCCATGTCCACCCAGGCTTTCCAGCGCCCTCACCTCTCTGAGTCTCCTCCGAATGAGGGCGGCCGTGGCATTCAGCGAGGCGTCCTGCAGGTCCACCTCGGGCTCCTGCGGCAGCAGGGGCCCGATGACCACGGCGCGGCCGCTCGGGTCGGGCTCGGGGCCGGCTGCCCGTTTCCGGTCCTCCTCCCTGCGTCTCTGGCGCTCCTGCAGCTGCGTGCTCCGAGGCAGGAACCTGTCCACGGCTGCCGAAGACGGGGCGGCCTCGGGAGCGCTCCGTGGGCTCGGCGCAGAGTCCCAGAGCCGGGGGCCCTCCGCTCCAAAGCCGGCCCCGCCGCCCAGGCGCTTGCCAGGTGCCCCCGCATGGTGCGCGGCGAAGGAGCACAGAGGCCGTTGGCAGGAACAGGGAAGAGGCGGCCGCGAGCGCCCGGCAGAGGGGTCCAGGGCGGCCGCGCAGGACACAGCACCGCCTGCGGGCAGGTCCGGGCTGCAGGGGTCCGCGTCTCCGGGCTGGGGCAGGGGCGGCGGCGGCTTCGTCGGGACGCAGCCTTCGGGTTCCCAGGCAAAGCGACAGTGAAACAAGCGTTCACTAGTGCGGTCCTCGGTCAGGGAACCGATGCCGCCCCAGATCCGCGATGCTTGGCGGGGCGCGTCCACGTGGTCCGAGTTACAAAGGCTAAAAAGGAGCCCGGGTCAGGCCGCGCCCTCGCCCACCCCTCGGGTGCCTGGTCCCCGTTACTCGTGCGGCTTCCGCGCGTTTGCTGTGGGAGCCGGGCGGTGCCTCCTAGGCCCAGGGCCGCGTGCGCTCCCACTGCGCCCTCTGCTTTCCCAGAACCTCCGCGGTCTCAGTCTGCCCGGGCCGCCACGCAGAAGCTGCTGCGCCCGGCTCTCAGGAAAGGAGCCGCAGGCCTCCTCCCTGCAGCTGCGGCCCAGGGCGGCGTGGGCGGCGTGGGCACCCGAGGCCGCTGCCAGCGCCCACACCCAGCAGGGGAGGGAGGCCGCTCCCTACCTTTGCTCCTCGTGCTCCTCCCCACGTACGCCTTCCTCGCTGCTAACTTCCTCCTGGTTTCCTCCACGGTTTCAAATTCCGGAGCGTAGCACACGTGAAGCAATCCGCCGAAGAAGCTCTGCTCGTCCATCTTCCTCTTGGCCGTCCTGGGCAGAAACACGTCCCGGCAGGGGTCAACCTAGACGCACCCGGCACGAGAGCTCGGCTGGCACCGCACGCGGGGACCCGCAGGGGACGCCCGGCTGTGCTGTGCGCGCATCCACCCTGCGCTTGGGGAAGCCGGGGCTCTGCTGTGCGCGCCGCCGACCCCGCCGGGCCTGCGGGGCCCCGGGGCCTCCTCTCGCCTCTCCCAGGAATCCAGACCTCCCGTGTCGGTGGGGTGGCAGGGACCGAGCACCTGCGCCTGCACCTGCATCTGCCGCCTCCCAGGGCGCACAGCGGCAGGATGCTGGCGGGAGCAGAGCAGCGGAGACGGGAGGAGACCGGAATGCGGCTCCGCTAGGGAGGCAGCGGCCCACGCCAGCTGCTCCCGTCTGCGAGCTCGCAGATGACCCCGCACACACGATCCGTGTCTCCGCACAGAAGTCAACCCATCTTGACTCCCGTTCCCGGCCTGTCCGAGGTGCCCGCGCTCAGTCCCGGGGCGACGCAGGCGTGAGGAGGCGGACCCGGACCCGGACCCGGGCCGACAGGAGGGAAGCAGAGACCAGGCGCCGCCCGCTCGCACGGTACCTGGCACTGTGCAGATGCAGGAACTTTATGAGATAGACCTCGGTGAACTCCTCCGCCGGGTACTCGTCTAAAGCATTGTACTGCTCGATGGCGCCGTACAGAGCAAAGCGCTCGACGAGCTCCCGCATGGCTCCCAGCGCAGGGACGCCCTGGACCAGCAAGTACCGGGACTCCAGGTTGATCGTGTACACCTGCAAAGGCCAGCGCAGAGCTCGGTGCCGTCACACACGCGCTTAGGGACCCGCGCGCCCTGAAACGGGGCTCTGCGAACCAACACTCCGTTCACGCGGAGCGCAAAACCCACGCAACAGGAGAACTCCCGCCCGAGTCTCTGCCCAAGACGCAGCCCCGCACCAGAGCAGGCTCCCCGCCGGGCTGCGGGCCCCGAGGTCGGCGTGGCGGGAGTCGCCCGACGGCCACGCAGCCAGCGCGACCCCCGGGCCCCGCCCGTGCTCAGCACCGAGGCCAGCCCCGCAGCGGCCCCGCGTCGCGCCCAGCCGCAGTGCCGGCCTTCGAGGCCGCCTCTCGGCTCCCCCGCTCTCGGGGTCCCGCCCAGGGCTCCTCACGCGCCCCCGGCGGCCGCTGGACCGGCCAGCAGCGGAGCCCACTCCGTCCTCGCGGGGCGCTGACCCCACACACAGCTACCGAGGACGGCCACCCGCGGACGTCACGTCACCTTGACGGCGCGGGGCCGGCGTCCCTCCCGATACTTGGCCCGCGTGTCGCACACCGCCTTCGGGACGTGGTGCTCCCAGACGCTCCCGGGCTGCCCGTCCCTCGACGCCATCGCGCTCTGCCCGGGGCTCGCGACGAAGACAACATCCGCCGGGCGGCCCCTCGTTTCTCCAATAAGAGGGCGGGATGGGTCACGGCGTGCCCGGATTGGCTGGAGCATCGACGGCGTCGGCCATCGTTTCCTGCGATTGAGGACTTGGGGAGCGAGTGCCGCCCCCTAGCGGTGCGGCGGAGAGCGGGTGAGAAGCCGGCCCTCCCCCGCAGGGCGCGCGGCGGGACGCGCAGCTGGGCGAGAGGGCGGGACCGCCGGCGGCGCGGCCGATCGATGCTCTCGGGCTCGATGCCCTCGGCCTGCCGGGGCAGGGGTCACATGCTGGCTGTGGTGGGAGTGGGCAGAGCCGCGCAGCGGGACGATGTGGTGCGACGGTCGCCCGGCGGGGTCGGGGGCCGGCGGGGCGGCCGTGACTGTGGTCTTCACCAACGCTCGGGACTGCTTCCTGCACCTGCCGCGGCGCCTCGTGGCCCAGCTGCACCTGCTGCAGGTAACGCGCGACCGCGGACGCCGGGCCCCGCACGGTCGCCGGGCCGCGTCCAGCCCCGGAGGGGGTCCCTGGGGCGGTCTGGGGGTTCCTTACCCGCCCCGCCGCGTCCGGAGCAGCCCCAGGCCGGTCACTGGCCTCTCCGCTCAGGACCCAGAGCGACGTCCACACGGGCTGCTGTGAAGTGGTTGAGGCCGCTGGCGGTGCTCCGACGAGGGTTAGCGGCCTGGTTCCGCCCGCGTCCGCGCAGCCCCGGGTGGGGAGGGTCGCAGGTGTTGAGGCGCTGACGGACGCGGACGCGGCGCCGCGCGTGCAGGACCCCGCGTGGGCCGCAGCCGGGCTGAGACCTTTCTCTCCCCGGTCCCGCGTGCACAGAACCAGGCCGTGGAAGTAGCCTGGGGCCGGCAGCCCGTGTTCCTGAGCTGGGTGGAAGGCCGGCGGTTCAGCGATCCAGGCGAGAGTGTGGCTGAGATCAGCCGGCAAGTGGGGCGGACACTCGGACTCGCCGACGGCGGACAGGTGAGCACGCGGGGGCTGCGGCGAATTCTGGGAACGGCGCCAGAGCCGCGACCACAGCGCTCAGTGTTGTGTTTTTAGTGGACGATAGATGATAGCAAACGCGTATGCTGTTACACTGATAGTCAAGTAACAGTAATTCTCTTGTCGTTTGCTATGCTGCTACCTTAGTTTTGTATTCTGTCACCTCTGTTACTGTTTACAGCCCTGACCATGTGTTGTTCAATTCCTTTTCCTTTATGAACAACTGGGTTTTACCCTTGTTTTCTTTTTAATTTTTTTATTTGACAGGTATAGTTATAGACACACAGAGAGAGAAAGGTCTTCCTTCCGTTGGTTCACCCCACCCCCCCATGGCCGCTATGGCTGGCACTGTGCTGATCCCAAGCCGGGAGCCAGGTGCTTCCTCCTTGTCTCCCATGCGGGTGCAGGGCCATCCTCCACTGCCTTCCCGGGCCACAGCAGAGAGCTGGACTGAAAGTTGAGCAACCAGAACTAGAACGGGCGCACATACAGGATGCCAACGCCGCAGGCGGAAGATTAACCTAGTGCACCATGGCGCCGGCCCCTACCCTTGTTTTCTAACTTCCCATTCTGTTGATTACACATACCAATTCTACAACTGAAGGTTATTTTTCCACTTTTTCAAAGTAGATTATTTATTGGAGCTGGTGTTGTGGCTTCATGGGTTAAACTGATGCCTGTGTTGCCAGCAGCCCATATAGGTTCTGGTTGGAGTCTCAGCTGCTCCGGTTCTGATCCAACTCCCTGCCAGTGTGCTTGGGAATGCATCGGGGATGGCCCAAGTGTGTGGGCCCCTGCACTCACGTGTTAGACTTGGAGGAAACTCCTGGCTCCCTCTGCCCAGTTCTGGCCATTGGGGGTGAACCAGGGGAAGGAAGATTCTCTCTGTCTCTTGCTTGCTCTCTAACTCTCCCTTTTTAATAAATGAAAAAAAAATCTTTAAAAATAAAGAAATGATGTAAAACTCTTCTCATGTGGAAACAGCTTAGCTTTAGGAATTTCATTTCGTTTTTTTTTTAAGTTTTTTTATTTATTTGACAGTTACAGACAATGAGAGAGAGAGACAGAGAGAAAGGTATTCCTTCCATTGGTTCATCCCCCAAATGTCCGCTACGGCCAGAGCTGTGCCAATCCGAAGCCAGGAGCCAGGTGCTTCCTCCTGATCTCCCACACGGGTGCAGGGGCCCAAGCACTTGGGCCATCCTCCACTGCCCTCCCGGGCCACAGCAGAGAGCTGGCCTGGAAGAGGAGCAACCGGGACTAGAACCCGGCGCCCATATGGGATTCCGGCTCCGGAAGTGGAGGATTAACCAAGTGAGCCAGGGCGCTGGCCCCAGGAATTTCATTTTGAAGAGTCGCGTGTTTCGTGGCAGTCTTGCTGCTCACCGGTATTATCTGGCAGTTCTTCGACGCAGAACTCCCCAGGGCATTACAGAGCACTCTTGCGGAAGTGCTGTCAGGGAGCTCCTTGGCAGGTGCGGGTTTCAGTTAGGATATTCGTGTTTGCCTCTGCAGAATTGGAGCTTCACGGGCGTGTCACTGAGAATTTGGGTGTCTTGGAACTAGACCCTGTAAGTCAGGAGTGAAAGGAAAGGAAAACCGGGCGAGTTCAGGATATCTAAGCCTACAGTGGTGTGGACCACCTGCATTTACAGTGCAACTGTCACCCCTCTGTTCACGAGTTCTCCCTGACCCCGGAGACTGTATAACCATTGTGTGGTAACTCCCTGCTCGCTCTCCCCCGGCTGCTGATGACCACCATTCTGTTTTCTGTCCCTATGAATTAGCCTCTTCTAGATATTTAACATAGGACAACGCTTGTCTTTTTGTTTCTTATTTCACTTAACAAAATCAAGTTTCATCTATTTTTTAGCAGGTATCAAAAAATTGTTGCTTTTTATGTCTAATATTGCATTGTATATATACACCACAATTCTTTTTAAAGATTTATTTATTTGAAAAGCAGAGTTAGAGAGAGGGAGAGACAGAGATTTTTCATCGGCTGGTTCTTTCCCCATGTGGCTGCAACAGCCAGAGCTGGACTACTCTGAAGCCAGAAGCTTCTTTAGGTCTCCCATGTGGGTGCAGGGACCCAAGTACTTGTGCCATCTCCTGCTGTTTTCCCAGATGATTAGCCGGAAGCTAGATGAGAAGTGGAGAGGCCAGGACTTGAACTGGCGCCTATATGGGATGCTGGTGCTGCAGGTGGCGGCTTTTCCCGCTATACCACAGTGCCGGCCCCACAGCATGGTTTGTTTACGGATCGATCTGTTGCCAGACACTCAAGTTGTTTCCACCTTTTGGGCTGTTGCGAATCGTGCTGCTCTGAGTACTGATGTACAGTTCCGAATCCTTGCTTCCAGCTCCTTGAAGTATGTGCCTAAGAGTGGAAATGCTGAATAATAACGTGGTGAACCCCATAAGGAACCACCAGGCTGTTTTTGATGACAGCTACGTCAGCATTTGCTTTTGAATGCTTTTACCTTTCAGCAGTGTATGAGGGTTCCAGTTTCTGCAAATAACAGCTCTTGTTGTTTCCTGGCTTTTTTTTTTTTTTTTTTTTTTTTTTTAAGATTTATTTTATTTGAAAGACAGAGTTACAGAAACTGGTAGAGATAGAGAGAGGTCTTCCATCTGCTGGTTCACTCCCCTGATGGCCGCAGAGGCCGGAGCTGCACTGATCTGAAGCCAGGAGCCAGGAGCTTCTTCCAGGTCTCCCACGTGGGTGCAGGGGCCCAAGGACTTGGGCCATCTTCTACTGCTGTCCCAGGCCATAGCAGAGAGCTGGATCAGAAGAGGAGCAGCCAGGACTAGAACCGGCGCCCATATGGGATGCCAGCACTACAAGCCAGGGCTTTAACCTGCTGTACCACAGCACCAGCCCCCCGGCTTTTTTGGTAATAGCCATCTTAATGAGGGATGAGCAGGATTGGCACATTGTTAATAGAGTGACGTAGTACCTCTTAGGTGATAAGACTACCCGAGTCTGGTGTTGGGTCTTTTTAACAAATTTAACTCTTTGCAATCAGATCTTTATTTAAAATGATGATGGAGGCCAGCCCTGTGGTATGGCGGGTTACCTGCTGCACCAGCATTTCATATGGGCACCCGTTCGAGACCAGGCTGCTCCACTTCCCATCCAGCTTCCTCCTAATGCACCTGGGGAAACAGTGGAGGACGACCCAAGTCCCTGGGCTCCTGCACCCATGTGGGAGAGCCATTAGAAGCTCCTGGCTTATACCTGACCCCAGCCTGGTCATTGCAGAGATTTGGGAGTGAACTAGTGGGTTTAAGATCTCTGTCTCTTCTGTCTGTAACTCTGCCTTGCAAATAAACATTCACAAATATTAATAATGATGATATTGATGGTGGTAGTAATGGTTGACGTCACTTCTAGATTGTGTTATTTGGTTACTAACTAACTGAAATAATTATTTTTTGATAAGTTGATATTTTTAATTACTTAAGTCAAAATTTACCAAATTTTAATAAACATACATTGGTTTGCCCTAGTTGTTACCTGGGGATTCAAGAATAAAAGTAACTGCAAGAATGAGACTTACCACAATACTTTTTAAACTTTTTAATGAAGATGGGTTATGTGTTCATGTTGATAAAATGCAGAGTCTAAAGCAGAGGGCTCATGGGGCCACAGCACCTGCCCCCACACAGCTGCTTTGTTGTTTGGCTCTGTGCTTTATTATGACAATGAACAGGAAGAGACATAAGAATACGTTCGGGCCTCTGAGCTAAAAATAATGTTGGTGCTGCAGAAAGGAGAGTAACTATTGCTCCCTTTGGTTTGTGCTTCTCCCGTTTACTTGGACACAAGGTCATGGAGGAATCTCCTTCATACCAGATTTCATGAACAGGGCTTTGGAGTAGGTCTCCTTATCTTGTAGTTATGCTATTAACAATGAAGCTGTTTAATGACTTTGCCACAGATCCCAGTTGGAAAATAAATATTGGGTAAAATGGAGAGATGCCCTACAAAGAAAAGGCGGGGTTGTTTTTTCCACTGAAGTTGTACTCTGAGTCGTTTGTGTTTGTCTTTGTGCTTCATACCCAAAGTGGTTGGAGTTAGTGAAGCTTATGAGGATGCTGCCAATTGTCTCTGGCTATTAACCAACTCCAAGCCCTGTGCTAACTGTAAGTCTCCAATACAGAAGAACGAAGGCTGCAATCACATGCAGTGTGCCAAGGTAAGAGGTTAAATAAAGAGGGTTTTTTGCAGGCTTTGTAGTCGGAATCTCAGTTTAGTTGGATTGTCAGTCCAAAGCAGAAATAGTAAAAGCATAAACATCTTGTTGGGTTTCAGATAGGATTTAGGAGATTACATTCTACATTCCTTGCTGAATAACTTAATGGTTGGTATATTTTGCTAAATTGTACATTCACCATGAATGTAAGGGTAGGCAGTGGAAAGAAGTGGTCATCAAAGAAGGAGGTATTTTTCTCTGAAGGGAGGAGAGAACTTCCACTTTGCTTATAGCCTTGTTTAAATACTGATGGAGTCTGTGGGTTCAAAAGGCTTCCATAGCCTAGGCAGCTCATGTCAAGTACATAAGAGTGTTAACTGTTAAATTAACAACAGGAGTCACTGTGCAATAACTTCCAATGCAGAACCTCTGTCCTCGAAGAGTTGTGTTATAATTATGTCTAAGTGCTCGCAAAAGATGTATCATTCTTGGGTGCTTCTTTAAAGTTAATTAAGTTTCTAAAAAAAATAAAGTGAAATTAACTTCAAGATGCAATGACTTTGAACAGCCCTTTTTTTGTGCAAATTGTTGTACTCTTTACTTAGCAAAAGTTCATTCAAAATGATCTTAGTGGAGAATGGAACTAGGAATGGGAGAGGGAGGAGGGGCGGGGTGGGAGAGTGGGTGGGAGGGCAGGTATGGTGGGGAGAATCACTATATTCCTAAAGTTGTATTTAGGAAATGTATGAAGTTTGTATTTCTTAAGTAACAGGATTTTTTGAGGGTGGGCCGGGGAAGTAAGGGTAGGCTGGGGCTGGCGCTGTGGTCAGCAGGTAAAGCCGCTGCCTGCGGTGCTGGCATCCCGCAGGGGTGCCAGTTCGAGTTCCAGCTGATCCCCTTCCGATCCAGCTCTCTGCTATGGCCTAGGAAAGCAGTAGAAGATGGCCCAAGTGCTTGGGCTCCTGCACCGGTGTGGGAGACCTGGAGGAAGCTCCTGGCTCCTGGCCTCGGACTGGCTCAGCTCCAGCCATTGCAGACATTTGGGGATTGAACCAGCAGGTGGTTCTCTCTGTCTCCCTCTCTCTGTAACTCTGCCTTTCAAATAAATAAATTAATGATTTTTAGAAAAACATAAGTTCATTTTAAAAAAAATAAAGTAGTAGCGGGCTTCAAAGGAAGCCAGTGGTCCCCAATAGTCAGAGGAGGTGGTCTCTGAGCCACGCCCACAAGTGCAGGAGAGACGGTGACAGTAGCCGCTGACACTCTGCCGAGCCCTTCGTGTCCATTAACTTGCTTCATCCCCTCGAAGCCTGGCGGGGAGATACCAGTATTCCCTCTCATCTGACTCGAATCCAGGGAGAGGCAGAATTCCTTGGTTTATCTTACTCTTAATAATTGCTAAAATATTCCCATGTTACATCCGAATCAGAAGCCAAAGTGAGTGTAGGTTTTTTAACCCACTTTATTCACGTTTACAGTTTCCACTAGTGCCTAGAAAACTTTAACAAACTAATGAGCATCTTACAAATGTTTATGAGAATATGATTACGGTGTACATCCTGGAAATTGGAGACATCAGAAAGTCTTGCTATGTGACAACGGAATTAAAAATACAACAGTTATAGCTACCATCTACTGAACACTTGGTGTCTTTGACAGAAAAATAAGAATTCTTAAATTTTTTTAAAACTGAAGGGCTCATGAGTGGTCGCCTCTGCATGTCTGAGCCTGGCAGGACCTCACAGGTGCCCCCTCCTTCCCTCTTCTCAGCACAAGCAGCCTTGGCCTCATGACTACCGGCCCAGACCAATCAGTTGCAGAATGAAGAGGAAAAGGTTGATGATGTCCAGGTAGATGTTCAGGGCAGCGAACACATACTCTTCGGGGTCCAGGTCGGAATGAATATGGCGCCCCCCCACCATCAGCTGCACATCCATCACCAAGTACTTGAAGAAAAGGAGGAACAGTTAGCTGCGTAAATGGCACCTCTCTCTCAAATAAGTGTCCCAAATGAGCTGGAGAAAAATTATTTGAGTACCAAGAAAAATATTACAGAAAACCACTTTGTGGCTGTGCTATTCTTTTTTTTTTTTCCTTAAAGTATTTATTTTATTTGAAAGACAAAGAGATAGACACAGGGGGTCTCCCATTCTTTGGCTTATTCTCCAAAATGCCTGTGATAGCTGGGGCAGAGCCAGCCCAAAGCCCAGAGTCGGGTACTCAGTGTGGATTTTCCATCTGAGTAGCAGGGACCCAAGTGCTTGAGCCGTCATCTGCTGCCTTTCAGGTTCTGCAGTAGCAGGAAGCTGGAATCAGTAGGTAGACCAGGACTAGCATCCAGACACCCTGATGCGGGATGTGGGTGTTCCGCGTAGAAGCTTAACTGCTGGTGACTGTGTCACTCATCAGTGCCTCGGTCGCTCATGATGTCCTGAGTCTGTGCTCCGTAAAAGCAAGTGCTCAACCTCCCGAGGCCTAGGACACCAAAACCCTTGAGCTTTCCAGCCCCATCAACATTTGGACCTTGAGTCAGGGATGAGGTCCAGGTGGACCAGGTGGACCCACAGACAAACTGCAAAATGCCTGTGTTTGTGGCCTTTTACCCAGGTTCTTTCTGAGCAAAGAATGAAAATAAAGATGGCTCCTGGACATTTGATCCACATGGAATCATAATTCTGACTTTTTGGGGCTTGAGGTGACAGCAGATGTGGTCGTTTGGGGATGGCTTTGTGATTGTGTCACCACATCCAAAATGAAAGGAGGAGAGGGGCTTTGAGACTAAATAACTCCCAAGTAATCATTTCAGCCCGGCTGAAATACAGTTATGATACAGTTGTGAGTTCCTAAAATGCCAAGAGGAAATAAGTCAGCGGACCCTCTCTGATGCTGGGGTTTGTGGCCAAGTGACTGGCCCCAGGCAGCATTTGAGGCAGAAAAAGAAAACTAACGCTCGGCCCCTCCTGTCCACACTGACACTCGGAGTCCAGTGCTGGGAAGCTGAGCCAGTCCCCCAGATCCGCTGGCATTCGGGAGAATTCTTGGTGTTTTAAAGATTCTTTAATCCATTTTAGGACACTGTCTAGCTCAGTGAGTCTGGCATCCGCTCTCCTGGGCTGCTGGTTCCCACCTGGCCTTGTAGAAATGAGAAGGAAGCAGCGGACAGCTACTGGAGAGGGGCAGTTGGCCTAGCGTATGGGATGCCCGCTGCCCTGTCGGAGTGCCTGGGTTTGACACCCACATTCAGCTCCCGACTCCAGCTTTCTGCTGATGCCTATTCAGGGAAGAGCAGTGATGGCTCCAGTAACTGGGTTCCTGCCACTCACGTGGAAGACCTAGGCTGAGTTCATGGCTCCGAGCTTCAGGCTGGTCACTATGGGCAAGAGTGTTTCTCTCTCTTCCTCCCTCTCCCTCTCCCTCCCCCACCCCCCACCCAAGTTATTTGATTAAAAAAAAAAGTTATTGAGCACATCTTGGGTAGCCTCATTCAGATTCATTACAGATGTTACCGAGCACAATGTGTGTACAATCCAATTAAGGAAGATGAGATTTACCTGAGCCTTGGAGAATGGAAGAAAGAACAGTGTAGTGTCTGGCAGAGAAGGGGGTCAAACATGAGGCAGGGACGGGGAGAGGGCACCTGGTGTCTTCATCCCAGGTGGAGTGCCTGGGTTCAAATTCCCGCTCCACTTCCAATTCCAGCTTCCTGCTAATGCACACCTTGGGAGGCAGCAGGTGGTGACTCAAGTTGTTGGGTCCCTGCCACCCATGTGGAGAACCTGGGTTGAGTTCCCAGCTCCCAGGCATTTATGGAGTGAACCTGCAGATGGGAGAGTGCTTGCTGGCTCGTTCTCAGAAAAGGGGAAATGGACTTACAAATGAGAAGATCAGAGTTCCTAGTCCAGCATACAGCAGATGCAGCCACTGCAGAGAAAGGAGACAGCGTACACAGCGTTAAGATCGGGGTTTGGAATAGCGAGACGGTTCACCGGGGTCACTGCTGTCAGAAAGGGACCGATATTAAGAAAGTCAGTTCTTTAACAGCATCTACTCAATTCCAGGCAAATGCAGGCAGAGCTGGCATGCACAGGCCAAAGGTGAGGCCCCCTATGGGCACAGGATGCAGAGGTGGTGCCCGACATCTGAGGGGAACACGCATCAGCTCTTCAGGGTGAGGAAGTGGTCCTGGGAGGGCAGGCAGGAGTGCTCTGCTGACCTGGAGCCAGCCGCAGAGTCTGGAGACACAGTTATTTCCGGACCCCGCCAACAAAGGAAACGCCTGAAAACTACAGTCTAGAGGATTCAGAGCTGTGAGTCACACAAGTGTGCAGACTTAGAATAAGGCCCCATTAAAGTCTTCCATTCAAATGTCTGTGCAAAGTTATTGATTAGAGATGTTTGGGAAAGGAAATTCAGAACAGGAACTGAAAACCACACCCAGAGATGCTGTAAGGACCTACGGAATCCACCTAATAAATGCTCATGCTATTGCTACCAATATCTGGTACCGTCCACAATGACTCAGAGAGCTGCCTTTTAATGCGAATCTTCCCAACGCCTTTGAGTTAACCTCTGAAATATGGGTGCCACCTCCTTGCCGTTAAGTCTAAGTGATTTGTGAAGCTAAAGAATCAGTACTGCTGCTTATGTGTGAAGATCACGCAGCAAGTCCACGTGTTGCCAAGGGAACTCTGGTTCAGTATTTGGACCACGCTGGCCTTGGGGCTTTAGTCAAAGGCTCAGAGGCTCCAGCCAGTGGTCCGTGGGCCTGGACTCCTGCAGTGTCCACAGACGGACACCACAGGTCCAGATCGTATCTCTTGCTGTCCGTTCCTCCGCTCATTCTGCCCACGCACAGTGCAGTGTGGTGGACACAGCATGGACACTAGGGCTACACAAATAGTCTCAATGCCTCTGCTGCCCCTTACCATCTGAAGAAACTTGGGTGTGTTTTTTAACTTCTTTGAGATTATTTTCTTATCTATAAAGTAGCAAAAATGCATCCTTTTCAAGACAGTTGTCAGAGGTTCGTGTGATGCCTGCGTGAAAACACATGGGCATGGGCGAGTGTCCAGTATCTACCAAGCACTCAGTGGATGGAAGGAAAGAGCCGGAACTGCAAAGCCAGAAGGCTGCTGCCAGAAGTGCCCGGACAGGCCTGTCTCAGCCACCCCTTCTTCCAGACGAGCTGCAGCCGCCCGCATGGCAGGAGTGTGACCCTCCCTGTGGGCAGATTCACCTCCAGGCCCTCTCGGGAAATAACAGCTGTGCTCACCCCGCACAGGATCCCCCACCCACGGCTCCTCCCTGCAACCCCTTCCACCAGGAAGGGCCCACAGACCTGCAGTCTCCAAGGGAGAGAACTGACCGTGGCTGGTTGCCCTGGGAGCCACTGGTTTGGTTAGGTTAGGCCATGGTAGCTACCACTCAACCTCTGGCTGGGAGTGGCGGGGCTCTTCTGGGAAGACTGCAATGGCCAGCTTCAGTTCAAGGACACCTGATGGCCTTGCTCAGCCTCCCCAAGGACACACAGGCCTGCACCCTTCCTTCCTCTTCACTTGGGGTCAGGGGTGCCAACATGGCCTGACAGCTCTCCAGCCTTCCTCGGCCCCCTTCTTTTCTCTCAAAATCCTTGCATGTGCTGTCCTGCCACTTGTCTGTGTCTCGTAGGACCCTAACTGACACGGTGGCACCTCACTACGTGTTCCAGCAATTCTGAGGTTTGCAAATGAGATCCCACTTACATACGATCGGACGAAGATTAAGATGATCCCGTAGGCCATCAGTACAAAGAGGAAAACAAACAGCACCCCGTTGAGCAGAGTGAAATCCCACTGAGAAAACAAACAGCACACAAAACACGGGGTTATCTTCTACAAGGAATTTCAGTATACCTGGAGCTGCTCTCGTACCTGCGTGGACAGAAGCTGCCCATTTCTAATAATTCATGTTTGGCTGAGATAACTTTGGAAAACCATTAGCCATACCAAGTGAAGATTTCTCCATAAAAATGTTACAGTGAGGGACCGGCGCTGTGGAACAGTGGGCTAAAGCCCTGGCCTAAAGCACAGGCATCCCATATGGGCACTGGTTCTAGTCTTGGCTGCTCCACCTCCCATCCAGCTCTCTGCTATGGCCTGGGAAAGCAGAAGAAGATGGCCCAAGTGCTTGGGCCCCTGCACCCATGTGGGAGACCTGGAAGAAGCTCCTGGCTCCTAATCAGCACAGCTGCACTGTTGTGGCCATTTGGGGAGTAAACCAGCAGATGGAAGACCTTTCTCTGTCTCTTGCTTTGCCTTTGCCTCTCTGTAATTCTGTAAATCTTAAAAAATAGTTACAGGGGCTGGTGCTGTGGTGCAGCGGGTAAAGCTGCCACCTACAGTGCAGTAATCCCATATGGGTGCAGGTTTGAGTCCCAGCTGCTCCACTTCCGATCCAGCTCTCTGCTGTGGCCTGGGAAACAGTGGAAGAGGCCCCAAGTCCTTGGGCCCCTGCACCCGTGTGGGAGACCTGGAAGAAGCTCCAGGCTCCTGGCTTCAGACTGACCTAGCTCCAACCATTGTGCCCACGTGAGGAGTGAACCACAGGATGGAAGACGGACTCTCCCTCTCCCCTTCTCCCTCTCTCTCTTCCCCCTCCCTCCCTCTATAACTTTGTCCTTCAAATAAATAAAATAAATCTTTTAAAATCACAGGGACTGTGATTTGCTACAAGAGAGAGAAGGTAGATGTATAAATGGATTGACAGGAGACAAGTTGACAATTTTTGAAGCTGGGTAATAGGTTCATGGGAGCTTAATGCTATTTTGTGTTTCATATTTATAAGAAATTTCCCCCTAAGAGCCTTCCCTGTGGTGGAGTAGGAAAATGGCACCAGCATCCCTGTGGGCGCCAGTTTGCATCCCAGCTGCTCCACTTCTGATCCAGTTCCCTGCTAATGTGCCTGGGAAAGCAGGGGAGGATGGCCTAAGTGCTTGGGCCCCTGTACCCATGAAGGAGACCTAGAGGAATCCCTGGCTCCTGGCTTTGGACTGGCCCAGCTCTTGCTGTAGTGGCCATTTGGGGAGTCAATCAGTAGATAGAAGGTTCCTCTCCCTCCCCTTCCTTCCCCCCCTCCCCCTTTCTGTAACTCTGACTTTCAAATAAATGAATAAATCTTTAAAAAAATTGAAAAGGTAGATTGAAGAAGTAGAATATAAATTTGTATGTATTATATAATCATAATCATATTTTTCAAAATGTGGGTGGGGCATGACAGAGGTTAAGATGCCGCTAACCCCTCGATCCCATACCTGAGTGCATGGGTTGAAGGCCTGCTAGGCTTCCACGTCCGCTTCCTGCTATTACACATCCTGGGAGGTAGCTCAAGTACTTGGGTCCCTGGTTCATGTTATAGTCCTCCTGGACAACGCAGGTCTGGAGCGCAGTAAATCTGGCCTGTGTCAGGGACATCTTAAGCTTGCTCCTCACTGGCAGATAAAAGATGTGACAGTGAGGAGGCTGATTCAGATGGGGGCTCTGTGTGCTCTGATCAGGTTCACCAAGAACTTTGGCCTTCGGAGCCCAGAGCAGGCAGTAACTTGGGGACCCAGGCGACTGTCATTTGGGGACAGAAATGGGTCACAGCTTCTCTGCCCTCTATCCCCCTCCTTGGCAGGTGCCTTGGGCTCCCACAAGCAGCACTTTTATTCCCAGACCCCACTGTTGACAGAAAAGCAGGGAGAAACGAGACTGAGGGACTGAGCACATTAGAGCCACGCAAGACTACCCTTCGGGGCGGGCGTTGTGGCTTAGCTCTTAAAGCTGCAGCCTCGTACGCCAGCATCCCGTGTGGGCGCCACTTCCCAAACTGGCTGCTCCACTTCCGATCCAGCTCCCTGCTAATGTGCCTGGAAAGTTAGTGGAGGACAACCCAAGTGTTTGGGTTCCTGCACCCACATGGGAGACCTGGAAGAAGATCCTGGCTCCTGCCTCCTGGCTGTGGCCTTGGCCCAGCCCTGGCCATTGAGGCCACGTGGGGAGTGAACTAGTGGGTGGAAGATCAGTCTCTTTCTCTAGAACTGTTGACTTTTAAATACATAAATAAATAGGTAAATTAAAAAAAACTACTCAGTCTGAAGAAACAGTTTCAATTTCAACCATGGGATCCAATTAAATTTAAAGCAAATGGACATTTCCCCTTGCTAAGTTGGGGTTCACAAGGAAACTCAGGCTGGTTGTGTGCTGTTTCTTCTGCGGCCCTTGGTTGAAAGTGACTTTTGCAAGCCCCACTACAAAACTTCAATAGGAAACAATGTTGTCTAATTGAACATCAGTTCAGCTGCCCTTCAAAGTCATCCAAAACCATCTTTAAAATATTTTCCAGTATCACGTTCCTCTCCCCACAGCACCTCAAACTCAGATTCTAGGTCACCTGCGACTTAAATTCCAACGGGCTATTGAAAATATGCTCACATTATAGAAGATTTTCACTTGCCTTCTCTTAATTTGAAAGGCAGAGAGAGAGAGAGAGATGGGTAAGAGAGATTTCCTGTCTGCTGGTTCACTCCCCGAATGCCCACAACAGGCAGAGCTGAGCCGGTCTGAAGCCTGGAACTTGGAACTTGGAACTCGGTTCGGGTCTCCCACATGAGTGGCAGGGGCCCAGGTACTTGATTCGTCACGTGCTGCCTCACAGGGTATCATCAGCAGGAAGCTGGGGCAGAAGCAGAGGAGTTGGGCCTGGAACTGAGGCACTCTGATCTGGCCTGTGGGAGTCTCACGGGGACTTAACCACGGAACCAGACGCCCTCCCCTGGAAGATGGTAAATGGCTACACGAATCCGTGCACTCGGCACCGGCTCACCCCTGCATTGCTGGGTGGCATATCTGTTTTACAGAGGCTGGTTTTTATGGATGAACAGCTCGGAGGTGGCACATGCTGATCTTACCATGGATTAACGTTAGATCTCCGACTCTGGATACAGTCTGACTAAATATCTAGTAGACCCTCTGCCTCGCTGACACTGCTTTTTATTTCTTCTTTCCACCAGGAAAAGATTACAGTTCTGCTTGTGTAGATCTTCCCTGTGATGTGTTTCAAACAATTTGGGAAAACACACTCTCTTCTGGGTCAGTTATTCAACTCACTGAGACCAGCCCAGGGACACGACCAGCAAGGACTGCTGAAAATCTCAGGTAGGCGAGACACAGTCTGATTTCCAACTTAAAAGGAATGATCCCAAGTGCTGCACTGTTCTCTGGGGAGTCCTCTCTCTGAGCCTCATGAGCCATGCAGCTTCTTACTTTTTAAACTCCCTGTGTTGCTCAGGGTCCCAGCAGGGAAAAGATGGCTCACTTAAGTAGGACAGTGTGAGGGGGGCTGGTTGATAAAGGAAAGACCTACAGAAGTGTCTGCAAGCAGGGGAAATAGCTGGGGTAGTGCTAGGCCCAAAGGGAAAAGAGAGGGAGCAGGTACAGGGGCCCAGAAGGTGAGGCGGGATTGGCCACTGTGGGACACACAGTGCAATCCGGTGTGGAATAGAAGAGACCCCAGGGAACTTGTTCTGAGGAGGCTGTGGGAATAGATAACTCTCTCCTCTCTCCCTCAGCCTCCATCTAGGGCTCCCCATGGGCCAAAGCCCATGGAAAACCCAAGTCCAAAGGCAAGAGGGCCATGGAGTGAGGCCCCCAGGACAGCAGCAAGTGGGGAGTTGGGGAAGCAGGAACCAGGAGAGGCAGAGGGACCCACGCCGCACACACACTCAGGACAGAGATGGGTCTCCATCGTACTCACTTTTGTTTGGAGAGCGAATAAAGTGAGCGCTAATGTCACCAGAGTGGTCGCTGCTGTTGCCCACAGCACTTCCTCTGCCTTATAATAGCTAAAACCAGAGATTGTGATTATTGTCCACACACGTTCCCAAAAAGGCGCACAAAAAGGAACTGAGTCAAAGACTTACACTGATACGGCTCCCAGGAGCAGCCCTTGAAGAAATGTCTGAAAACAAAATTCACAGTCAGTCATTAAGCTGCTCCCCTGGGGCCCAGAATGTAGAGGGGGGGTCTGGAGGCCAGTGGGGGTGTTCTCCCTGGCACCCACAAATCTCTTAGAACACAATGATACCTTGAACACAGTCAGTGAGTCCATTGTGTATTAATTAGGGATGCAGAAACCAAGGTCAAAGTTTGGTTTGTAGACCACAGCGTCGTCGATCAAACAGGGCCATCCACACTTCATGTTCCCATTTTATCAGGGCAGGACCCGCATTTCTACAAACGTGTCACCAACAGTGTGGGCACTGACATTTTCTATAGTGCCTGCCTGAAATAAAATCCTTCTTCAAACCTCAGACACGGGGTTAGGATTGAGACCTTCTTAGCTCCAGGCGATGGGGCTGGAGCAGTCGGGCAGGGCGTGGGCCACGCCTGTAGATGCCAACCATAGCTTCAGAGGAGAGCCGCTCTGGGACAGGAGAACCCCGTCACCCCACAGAGCCAGAGCTCAGGGGGCAGTGTGGGAGGGAGGCAAGGGCTGAGAGCCAGCAGGTAACACCAGGAAGGTCACCAGGGACACATGGGGCCCATGTCAGGCTCCAGGATGGCATAGACATGGTGTGAGGACTTCAGCATGCAGTGGCCACAGGCCCGCAGCCAGTCCCCAGTCTGTGGGATGCTCCGGCAGAGCACACCCCGGCACTTGGCTGACTCCCTGGTCCATGGGAAGAGCCGGGACAGCCTCATGCAGTCTCAGGGAGTGAGGACCAGGACATAGGCAAAGCGCAAGGCGGCTAGGCTGGCTTTGGGCTTCTCCAGTGGCCAGTGATGGGCTGGAGTGGGGGCTGGGAGAGCCCCAGGAGTCCCTCAGGTTGCCTCTGAGTTCCCACACCTGGGGAGTGTGCCTGCTTTGTTACCCTCACTAAGCAGCCTTCTATTCCCGTTCCAGGAAAAAAGGAGACGCCTCTCCCCCAAGCGTGAGGCAGCTACTGGGTGCTGGCGTCTTTCTCCTCTGCTAACTCAAGTGCTTCCCGCTTGTCCAGCTCCAGCAGCACGGGAAGGAGGGGTGAGTGCTGGGAGTGGCGTGCAGGGAGCTGGGGGCTGGGAGGAGAGGAGGAGAGGGGGTCCTAGAAGTCAAAGCTGCCGAGGACTTCGAGGGCTCCAGGCCCCCGGCTCCAGGGCACAGAGCCTCTTTGAGAAGGCAAGCCAGTCTCCCACGTTTTCCCTGAAGGGTTTCTCCACATATTTCCTGACCCTTGGGCGAGACGAGAGGAGTCTACAAAATAGAGCAAAATCTTGGCCTTTCTCTGTGCCCCTGTCTTCCCCTGATCTGAGACTGCTCTGAGGTAAGCACCAGCGAGGACAGATTCCCAAAGATAACTTGTGTGTCCTCTTGAAGTAAACATCAGAACCACGACTGACTGACAGAGAGGTGAGGTGAGGTGAGGCAGAGAGAGAGGTCTTCCATCCAGTGGTTCACTCCCCAGCTGGCCACAACGCCAGAGCTGGGCCTATCAGAAGCCAGGAGCCAAGAGCTTCTTCTGGGTCTCCTACACAGGTGCTGGGGCCCAAGCATTTGGGCCATCTTCTGCTTCCCCATAGCAGAGAGCTGGATGGGAAGTGGCGCAGCCAGGACTACAACCAGTGCCCATATGGGATGCCAGCACGGCAGGTGGCGGCTTGACCCACTAAGCCACTGTGCCGGCCTCCATGGCCGATTTTTAAAAATTAGAAAAGTCACACATTTCTGGGAAAATAGCACCCTCTCTGCCCCAGCATCTTCCTGGTGTGACCGCTCACGGGGCCTTGCTCGTGCTCAAGGCCAAGGGGGCGCAGGCGCGCGTGCCTTGCTGCGACTTGTGACCGAAGCCGGCCACCACCTTCATCTGAGCCTGTTTGTCCTGCCGTCAGATGTCACGCCAGTCTGTCCTCTCCGCTGTGGGTCTTTGGATCCACTCCTTCAAGTCGGACTGGGAGCCAGAGGAGGAGAGGGTGGCGAGCAGGTGAGCAGGCGCCCTCCCGGGAAGAACCGTTCACTGGCCCCGTCCTGCGTCTCCTTGGGACAGCTCTGGATTCCCCCCAGAGCAGCCAGACACCCAGGGAATTCCCATCCCTGGACTTGGGCGAGCCCAGGGCCTCAGGGAAACGAGAGGCAGGTGGAAGGGAGTCGGGGATGGGTGCCTGGGGCTCTGCGGCCCTGGGCTGGGCTGGGCGTGAAATGAGAAATAAGGATTCCATTCAGGTGTAGGAAATGGCAGCGCCGGGGGCTGGCAAGACCCTGGGGGCCCCCACGGTGGCACAGGGAGGAGCTGGCTGCAAGGAACGGGCCTCTAGGTTCTGTGTGGCCCTAGGGGCACTGGGCGACAGACGAGGGGCAGCTGTGTCGAGGCCTGCGGGCCAGGATCACCACAGAGAGGCACTGGGGGTCCAGGACCCGGAACCAGCGGCCAACGAGGAGAGCCTAGGCGCGGAGCCCCCAACGACAGCTCTGTGGCCGGGAAAACCTCCTGACTCGATATGTGAATGGGACGAACCCGAGCTCGGACACGACTCCCACTCCGGGTGGGACTTGAGGCAGAAGTAAAATACATGGGGTCAGCGCTGTGGTGCAGAGTTAATGCCCCAGCCTGCAGTCCCGGCATCCCATATCGGCGCTGGCTCGAGTCCCAGCTGCTCCACTTCCAGTCCAGCTCTCTGCTATGGCCTGGGAAAGCAGTAGAGGATGGCCCAAGTGCTTAGACCCCTGCCCCCACGTGGGAGACCAGGGGGAAGCTCTCAGCTCCAGCCGTTGCTGCCATTTAAGGAGTGACCCAGTGGATGGAAGATCTCTCCCTCTGAAATAAATCAATCTTTAAAAAAAAAGGAAGAAAAGGATTCTGTGACTGTTGAATTTGTTATAAATGCAAAAAGATGATAAAATATTTAAAAACTTGCTTTCTTAAAAAAAGGAAGCAAAATACACGTTACAAAGCAGCGCACGTTTCTGGCCATGACTTTGGAAGTGGATGCAGAGCTCCCTCCCGGTAACAAGATGCATTTGCGTTGCCCGGTGGGGCCGGGAGCCGTTCCCGCCCGCAGCCTGAGTAGATGCGGGTCAGCGCAGGAGCCACTCACTGTCCCAGAGTTGCTGACAGCGCGCATGTAGGAGACTGACTACCCGTGACAGCCAGAAGTCCGCCGAGAGTGTGTTTCACATAATTCCCACCTGTGCTATCCCCCTGGAAGTTTGCACAATAAAAAGAATGAGTTTAATAAAGTGACAAAAATCTATTTCAGAGGGGAACTATACAACTGGTGCCTAACATGGCTGACTTACGAAGAATCCCAGGAGAATGTAATTGGCAGGCACCTGCCTGCGCAGGTTCCCACAGCAAGCCAGGATAATCAGTACGGCGAAAAATGCTGGGCTGCAGGACAATTTAAAGCCACGTTAGTTGTTGCAGTGGTTGTATCAGTGTTATATTAGATGTGTATATATGACATTATCAAAATAAATATTAGAAAATAAACACAAATGTTATCTTCTTTTCTTAAAGGATTTATTTTTATTTGAAAGTCAGAGTTACGTAGAGAGAGGGAGAGATAGAAAGTGAGATCTTCCATCTGCTGGTTTACTCCTGAGATGGCCTAACCAGCTCTGGGTAGGCCAGGCTTAAGCTGGGAGCCAGGAGCTTCTGCTTCTCCCGTGGGGGTGGCAGGGCCCAAGCACCTGGGCCATCTTCCTTTGCTTTTCCAGGCCATAGCAGAGAACTGGATCCAGTGGAACCAGTACCCAAATGGGATGCCAGTGTTGCAGGTGGCGGCTTACTCTTGTGTAGCCAGGAGGTCTACCTTAAAATTAACTTTTCTCATTGTCATCTACAGATAGCTTATGCAATATTTTGAGTTTTTGTTGTGAAATAATTAAATATTCACAGGAATTTACAAAGGAACCAAGAGGCCCTGTGAAAATTTTACTTATTTTCTCAGTGATTACATCTTACACATTTGTAATTCATTATTACACCCCTGATTTGACATGGGCTCAGGGCATAGATATAGTTCCATGTGTGTAGATAGATGGAACCGCCACCATCACAATTGAGTCACAGTGATCCAGACAATAAAATACATCAATATGGGGCCTGCATTGTAGTGCAGTGGGTTAAGCTGCCAGCTGTGACACTGGCTGGTTCCAGTCCTGGCTGATCCACTTCCAGTCCAGCTCCTGGCTAATGTACCTGGGAAACAGCAGAAGTTGGCCCAAGTGCTTGGGTCCCTGTCACCCATGTGGGAGACCCAGATGGGGTTCAAGGCTCTTAGCTTTGGCTTGGCCCAGCCCAACCCTGCCTAGCTGTTATAGCCATTTGGGTAGTGAACCAGTGGATGGGAGATCTCTTTCTATCTCTGTATCTCTGCCTTTCAAACAAACAAATCTTAAAGAAATCATCAAAGACCTCAACAACATTCATCAAACAAAAAAATCAATAAGACCTCCTTCAAACTACCCTTTGTAGCAGCACCCATACACATTCAGCCAAAAGTCCTGAAAACTTTGTTTTCCGTCTCTTTAATTTTGTGATTTCAGGAAGGTTCTACCCTGTTTTCATTGTGAAAGGACCTTGGTCAGTAGGTAACAAACAACCATAGTACATTAAATCCAAGGATACTTACAAGATTGCATAGGTGAACCAGGGGTTTTCAAGCACCCAAGTTTTCAGAGCCTGCCTGTTAAAAAAATTAATATCATTTTACAGAATAAACACATTTTTCTAACTAACATTATATTTAGATAGACATGAAACAACCATAGGACAAGAATGTGGGAACCCCTAAATGATTAATAATGACAAGCAGGGTATTATTAATGACCAGTTAATTAAACAGGAAGGCATTGCCCCTCCTAAAACAGACAGATTTATAAAAAGATATCTTCATAGGTTGTAAGTCGAACCTAGATATGTGCAAATGTCCCAATGAAGCTGTTACTTTGAAAAATACTGAGGGACAGATGTTTGGCCTAGCCCTTAGCTGGGTAGGACGCCCACATCCTGCATTGAGGTGTCCTCACTCTGGTTCCTGACTCTGACTTCTTGCTAATACACACCCTGGGAGGCAGTAATGATGGCTCAAGTAATTGAGCTCCTGCCACCGAGGTGAGAGACCTAGATTGATTTCTTGGCACCCGGCTTCCATCTTCTGGCTATTGTAGGCATTTAGAGTGTGAACCAATGAAAGAAGGTTTTCTGCCTGTTTCTACATCTCTCAAACTTTTAAAAAATATTTATTTATTTATTTGAAAGTTAGAGAGACAAAGAGAAGGAAAGACAGATCTTTCATTGGCTGGCTCACTCCCCAAATGACCGCAATGACTGGGGCTAGGCCAGGCCAAAGCCAGGAGCCAGGACCCCTCTTCAGGTCTCCCACGTGGATGCAGGGGTCCAAGGACCTGGGCCACTCTCTGCTGCCTTCCCAGGCACACTAGCAGGGAGCTGGATTGGAAGTAGAACAGCCAGGACATGAACCCGTATGGGTTGCTGGCACTACAGGCGGCAGTCTAACCCAACTTTCCACAGCGCCGCCCCCGCCTCCAACTTAAAAAAATTAAATGCTGATATTAATATGTGTGCCAAGCAAACGAAATCAACTCCTCATGCATTTTTTACATGAATATAAATTCATAGGGTGTTTCATAGGATGTGTTAAAGCAGCAACGGAGCATCATCCTTCAAATAGCTTCTGAATTTCACGGTGTCACCAGCCTCCAGGGTCCTTCTAAGCTTTCTTTCCTTATCTGGGTTTATCTACAAAAATAGCTCATGGAAAATGTAAAAAAATAAAAGCATGTCCAAAGTAAGAATAAGAAAAAACCCTTGGCTTAGAAACAAAGTAGAGTCCAGTATTGTGACAGAAGGTTAAGCCACTTCCCAAAGCAGCATCCCATATGGGAGTGTCAGTTCAATTCCCAGCAGCCTCTCTTCCAATCCAGCTCCCTGCTAATGCACCTGGGAAAGCAGAGGAAGATGGCCCCGGTGCTTGGGCCCCTGCCACCCACATGGAAGACCCAGATGGAGCACCAGGCTCACGGCTTCAGCCTAATTCAGCTCTGACTAATGCAGGCATTTGGGCAATGAACTGGGGGATGGAAGATCCCTCTCTGTTGCTCTGCCTTTCAAATAGATAAAATAAATTTTTAGGAAAAAAAGTCAAAATAAAATTCTAGGAATCTACCCACCCCGCCTTGGGTCTAGGAATTGCAGAAACAAAGCTGTGAAAATGTTACGGCCAGGGCCAGTGTTGGGACATAGCCGGGCAAGCTGCTGTCTACGATGCTGTCTTCCCATTTGAGCGCCAGTTTGTGCCCTGGCTGCTCCACTTCCAATCTAGCTGTCTGCTAATGTGCCTGAGAAAGCAGGGGAGGACAGCCCAAGTGCTTGGGACCCTGCACCCACATGGGAGACCTGGAAGAAGCTCGTGGTTTCAGCCTGGCCCAGCCCTGGCTATGGCAGCCATCTGGGGAGTAAACTAGTGGATGAAAGATCTCTCTCTCTGTTTCTCTCTCTGCCTCTCCCTGTAACTCTGCTTTTCAAATAAATAAGTCTCTTAAAAAGATTTATTTATTTGAGAGGTAGAGTTACAGACAGAGGGAGAGACAGAAAGAGAGGTCTTCCATTTGCTGGTTCACTCCCTAAATAGGCGCAATGGCCAGGACTGGGCCAATCAGAAGCAAGGAGCCTCTTCTGGGTCTCCCACGTGGGTACAGGGTCCCTCCCAAGCACTTGGGCCACCTTCTACTGCTTTCCCAGGCCATTAGCAGACAGTTGGTTAGGAAGAGGAGCAGCCAGGACACAAACCCTTGCCCAAATGGGATGGTGGCACCAGAGGCAGAGGCTTAGCCCACTAAGCCACAGTACCAGCCCCCCAAATCTTTTTTTTTTTTTTTTTTCAAGAAAAATTATGGCCCATGAACGATTAAGAAAAAAGAAGATACATTTTTACTATCAAAATTAAAAAAGATTGAATGTGATGAGGTCACGTTTAATTCCACACCAGGCATGAAAACTCACCAGAAGAGGAACAGGCTGATAATTAACGCAGTGACTAACAACTGAGCTGACAGGATGAGGAACACTTTCACAATGAAAGCTGAGGAGACAGAAGCATTGTTTTTGTTACACAACATCCAAAAGTAAAACTATAACCATAGCGACCTGTGTGATAGCTGGTGAGAGGGAGGATGGGAAGGCAGTGCCGGGTAGCCACGGGTGGAGTGACGACAGAGATGCGGGCCTGCAGAGCCGTTACAGAACACGCAGGCCGGGTGCTTACAGCTGTGTCCCGAGATGTCAGGGCTTGTCTGTGAGAGCACCAGGCTAGGGTATTTAACGCCTTATGGTGTGTGCCCCATCTGCTGGCTCATCCCCCAAACGCCTGCAACAGCCAAGGTCTCCCAAGTAGGTGGCAGGGACTGAAGGCCTGGGCCGCCATCTGCTGTCTCTCAGGGACATGAGCAGGGCGCAGCATTGGAAGCAGAGGTGTGGCTTGAATTCAGGCACTCTGATATGGGACATCGGCATCCCAAATGGTGTCAGACACCTACCCAATAGGTGTGAATCTTTGCGCTCACCAATTGGGAAATGATTTCTTAGATGTGGTACCTAAAGCACAAGCAATGAAAGAAAAAAAATGCATGTTTTGGATTTCATCAAAAATAAGGGAAAGTGTTTGGCACATTGGTTAGGATGCTGCTTAGGACATCTGCATCCTATCCGTATCACAGTGCCTGGTTCAAGTCCCAGTGCTGCTCCCTGTTCCACCTTCCTACTAACGCACAACCTTGGAGGCAGCAGATCCTGGTTCAGTTGGGTCCTTGCCACCCATGTGGGAGATTCAGATTAAGTTCTGGGCTCCTGGCTTAGGCCTGGCTTGCCTGCTGCAGGCATTTGGGGAGAGAACCAGAGTATGGGAGATCTCTGTTTCCTGTCTCTCTGCCTTTGAAATAAATAAGCAAACATTTAAATCTATAATACCACTTTACACACTTGAGAACGAGCATAATGAAAAAGACAATAACAAGTGTTACCAGGGCTGGCGCTGTGGCAGAGCAGGTAAAGCTGCCGCCTACAGTGCTGGCATCCCACATGGGCACTGGTTCCAGACCCGGCTGCTCCACTTCCAATCCAGCTCTCTGCTATGGCCTAGGAAAGCAGTAGAAGATGGCCCAAGTCCTTGGGCCCCTGCACCCGCGTGGGAGACCCAGAAGAAGCTCTTGGCTCCTGGCTTCGGATTGGCGCAGCTCAGGCTCATGCAGCCAGTTGAGGAATGAACCAGCAAATGGAAGACCTATCTGCCTCTCCTTCTCTCTCTTGTGTAACTGTGACTTTCAAATAAATAAATCCTTAAAAAATATATACTAGATATCATGGAATTGCACACTTAAAAGGGGGCAGTTTTGAAATTTGTAAATTATGTCTGCCTACAACTGCTTCAAAAGATTGTCTTCATAATCTTTGTCTTAAGTCCATTGTCGTAAATCCACTGTCCTGCTAACTTTTCCTTCCCACCCTCAGCACGCTCACCTTTTTATACACTGTATGAGTGTAATATTTAAAAGTGGGGAAGGGCCCACCCTCTGGCCTCTGGGAGAAGCAGATACAAATAATTAACGTCAGTGGGGAGGCTTTACGTAATTTTCAGCTGTCCCACCTCCAGCCTCATGTCCTCAGCTGTGAACTGGTAATAAGATGACTTCACTTAATGAAGTTGTTGTAAAAAAATGCAAGCATAGTTCTCTTGCGCAACACCCATGGAGGGCTAGCATCCGAGGCAGGGGAGACTGACTGCTTCCTGGCATCCAGCCTCTCCAACCTCCTAGGCATCTGACCCAGCTCTTGTTGAGGGTGGCAATGGGTCCAGCTGGAGACGCGGCGGGGCGGGGGGGGGGGGGGTGTGGGACACAGAAAGGGTCAAGGACCTGTCCTTGAAAACTCTTGGCTGTGGCTTCTGGGTTAGCCTTTGAGAGGAGGTCAGATTTGTCTGACTCTGAGGGGGCACTGATCCATGTACAGCACCCCCTCGGAGCTATCAGGGCAGAGCCCCTGTGTTGGCCTTTGTTGTCTCTGGGCTATCTCTCCAGGAGCCATCTCTCCAGGCAAGGGTGAGCTAGCAATGAGGTTCAAAGCTCACAGTCCACCTGAAAGTTGGCCAGGTCCCAAGAAGGCCCGAGAGTGACAGAGTGGACATCAAGGACCTGCAACATTAGCCTTGAACAGCAACCCTTGAACTTATTTCACGAGACAGGAAAAAAAAATAAAACCCTCATTTAAGCTACAGTTTCTTAGCCTTCTATTATTCACTGCTGAATATATTTCCTAACTTTACCGAGTTAACATCTAGGGCATTGAAATATGGTTTTTAAAAACTTAAGCCATGGCGCTATGGCTCACTAGGCTAATCCTCTGCCTGCGGTGCCGGCACCCCGGGTTCTAGTCCGGGTCGGGGCACCGGATTCTGTCCCGGTTGCTCCTCTTCCAGTCCAGCTCTCTGCTGCGGCCTGGGAGTGCAGTGGAGGATGGCCCAAGTGCTTGGGCCCTGCACCCACATGGGAGACCAGAAGGAAGCACCTGGCTCCTGGCTTCGGATTGGCGCAGCGCCGGCTGTAGCGGCCATTTGGGGGGTGAACCAATGGAAGGAAGACCTTTCTCTCTGTCTCTCTCACTGTCTAACTCTGCCTGTCAAAAAGAAAAGAAAACAAAACAAAACTTAAGCCAATATTATGTTATCATCATTTTGTAGGTGAGGAACTTTTACAATCAATGACTAATTCATATTTCCAACAACAACAAAAACAAACCAGAAGCTGTTCACCATGTGTTCGTTTTAGATTTCTGAATGCTCTGGACAGCTTGGGAACAGTCTGTTACAACAGCCCCATGTCACGTTTCAAGATAAATCATGACTGGAAAACATTAAAGACAAAATGAAATCTTTTCCAACAATCCACATTGTGGCAGCATTGAGAACGGCGCTCGTCCTAACCTCTGTTCTCACCTCTGCGGACGTTTCTGTCAGAGAATGGACTGGATGAAGTCCTGTTGCTGCTCTCTGCGTTGGTGTCATCTGAAATTTGTACCACGTAGCTATTCTTTGGCTCGTTGGTCTTGGAGCGTGGATTCCTCTGAGCTTCTTGTGGGTAACTGGAAGTGGAGGGCTTGCCAGATTTGGACTGGACGCTCTTGTCTGCTGCTTTCCGAACCAGATGCTGATAATCTCCGGCACTAAAGTCTATCGGTCCACTTACCTCCACGTCCATCTTCCTGGAGAGGGAGAATGTCAGTCACATCCCTATGATGCTACCTTTACAACTGCAGCATCCTCATAGCATTAGATGATGCTTTCTGAATTTGAACTGCCTTGGCTCAATGCCTACCATGTTGGTGCTTAATAATCACTTGTTGAATGAGTGATGAACAAATACTTTTTAACATGAGGCCTCTAGAATAAAAACACAACCCTGGGGGCCGAGGCCTCTAGAATAAAAACACAACCCTGGGGGCCGGCACTGTGGCGTAGCAGGTAAAGCTGCCTCCTGCAGTGCCAACATCCATATGAGCGCCAGTTTGAGTCCCAGCTGCTCCACTTCCGATCCAGCTCTCTGCTATGGCCTGGGAAAGCAGTAGAAGATGGCTCAAGTCCTTGGACCACTGCTCCCATAAGGGAGACCCAGAAGTAGCTCTTGGCTCTGGATCAGCCCAGATCCAGCTGTTGCAGCCATCTGAGGAGTGAACCAGCGGATGGAAGACTCCCTCCCTCCCTCCCTCCCTCCCTCTCTCTCTCTGCCTCTCTGTAACTCTGCCTTTCAAATCAATCAATCAATCAATAAATCTTTTTAAAAGAATCCTTGGCCGGCGCTGTGGCTCAATAGGCTAATCCTCTGCCTTGCAGCGCCGGCACACCAGGTTCTAGTCCCGGTCGGGGAGCCGGATTCTGTCCCAGTTGCTCCTCTTCCAGGCCAGCTCTCTGCTATGGCCCGGGAAGGCAGTGGAGGATGGCCCAAGTGCTTGGGCCCTGCACCCGCATGGGAGACCGGGAGAAGCACCTGGCTCCTGCCTTCGGATCAGCGCGGTGTGCCGGCCGCAGCGCACCGGCCTTGGCGGCCATTGGAGGATGAACCAACGGCAAAGGAAGACCTTTCTCTCTCTCTCGCTCGCTCTCTCACTATCCACTCTGCATGTCAAAAAAAATAAAAAATAAAAAATAATAAAAGAAATGCTTAGCAGATCTGGGGTCCCAGATGCCTTACAAAAGGATTCCAAGAAATCTGAAATGCAAAATGATAAATATCTTTATAAAAACAAAATGCAAAAAAACCTTTAAAATTTCACATTCCTTTAAGCAGGAAAAGATGGGCAACCCAATAAGAAAATGAGAAAAGAACACAAATAGGCAATTCACAAAGGATTTAAAACGGTGAAATGCCACATTTTGTGTAAAAGGTTACAGAGAGAATTCTCAGAGTTGCAAGGGTATGAAGAAATGCACAATCCAGGGCCACCATGGGCCTTGTGTGGGCCCTGCCCTCAGGGGTCTTCTCCTTCACAGAAATAATGGAAACTTCATGTCTGACTTCATTGCCATAAAGGTGAATATAATCCATCTGGATTTGTTTTATGTTATATATTCATCATTGTGGTCCATTTTTCTCTCCTGATATTAGAAGAAATTAAAAATATTCTCATGGCCCCTAAAACTCTCCTGGGCCTGGCCCTGTGCCTGCGGGGGTGAGTCTGCCTGGGATAGCCTCATGGGGGTAAGTTTTTGGGGTAGGGCAATTTAGCAGCATCCATCAAAATTCACAAGTGCGTTATTTGTACCCCCAGTTACATTTTCAGGAATTTGTGTCACACAAATAGACAGAGATACATATATGAGGAAGTTCATGGCATGGTTCATTATTTATGAATGCAGAAAATTTAAAGCAATCCAAGTACCATCAGCATGGAAGTGGTTAAATTAATTTGGCACAGGAAAATGCAGATAAGTATGGACTGGTGTGGAAGGCTGATTGTGATAGACTTTTCAGTTTAGACAAAGAGTGATATTTAGTAAGATCACATTAATGTTTTATACACACACACGCACGCACACACACACAGATTGGGAAGATAGACTACGTACGTCATCTCCAGGGTTGGAGAGGACACTATGAAGTGTACAAACTTTTACAATGAGCAGTTGTTACTTACATAATAACAAAAAAGCACATACATTTTTGAAGAGGAGAGGCAGTCTTTCCCTTTTGGATGAAGCCTGGAGCCCCTCCGAGGAAAGCGATCCTCACTCAACGCAAGGCAGCACTGGGAGAATTCAAACACCCAGGTGGTCTCTCCCCACTGTGTCCTGCACCCCAGCAGGGGAGGGCAGCACGGTGGCCAAAGTGCTCAGAAACAAAGGACAAAGGGGCAGCCACACTTTCCTCCTGAAACTCCAGCTAACTGGTGCCTGATTCACAAAAGGAGACTCTCACCAGGCTTCTGGGCGCTTGGCCACCCAAAGAACGGGCAGGCGCTGGGGCTGGCAGCAAAGTTCTGAGCGACAGTTAGGGTAGTGGCAGTTGGAGCACGGGGTGGGCTGGGGCCCCTGCTGCCTGGGAGACGGGCTCTTAGGTCCAGCCCCATGTGTGGAGCCTCACATTGGTCAAACAGCTGCACCAGTGCCCTGTGTGCTGCGTGTCAGGGACACCTACGTCCAAATCGCCAAGCCAATGCCATCTCAGCGAACAGGAGGCTCCCAGGGGACCTGGCGTCCTCACAGCCCTGCCCAAACCGTGTCATCTATTTCTCCCAAGCACGATGCTCAGGAAACCACCTGGGGACCCATCAGAGTCCCCACACAATGATTTCAAAGAAGCAAGGCTCACTTAGGACAAGGCGGATGCTGGTTTTTCTGGTGGAGATGGTGATGTTAGTTGTTTCCATGGTGTGGAGAGATCGCTACTGAGGACGGCAGGCCGTGGAGCAGCGGTGAAGGGCCTGACTCTAGCTGCCTGGTGGGAGAAGTCAGATGACTGGGGCCATGGGCAGCTGGTATGAGCCCCTCTTCCTGGGAATTCTAGACAGGGAGAGCAATGTGCGGATGAGGGGTTGATGCTGAGTATGACAGCTACAGGGAAGGGGCGGAGGAGAGGCAGAAGCAAGGAGGAAAGCCCACAGTGGGCTGGAGGGAGCCTGAGCGGGGAGGGTGAGAAATGACTGCATGGTGCGTTTTCATGAGACTTAGCCTTAGTGCAGCCATGATACTGCCTCAGTAGTGTGTGGGCCAGAGGGTTGGGAGACCCCACAGGAGGTCACCTGTTGAGCTTGCTTTGCACACTGTGCGCCATCTGTTATCTTTGTAAGCTTCAGCAGCTCTGTAATCTGCTGGTACACCGTGCTCTCAAAGCTTAGGCACCGTGTCCAGTTTGTGTTGTGCCTCTAAGTGGCCCAGCCCATGAAGAACTGGGGAAGGGACCTGTGCATGGTAGGGACAAGAGCAGCTGAGTCTGTGATGGAGGTGCCTGTTTCCACCTGCTGGCCTCCGCGTTGCAGCCTGGCCAACAGTAAATGTCTCCCTTTCTGCTTCCTTCATATTTCTGAGTCCATCCTTTGGTGGGTAGGTGGTCTCAGGTGGGCTTCCTTCCCACAGGAGGAGGTTAGCAGAGGGGGAAGGAAGGAAGAGCTACAAAGGGAACAGCTATGGTTTTTTTTTAATATTTATTTATTTGAAACAGTTACACAGAGGAGAGGCAGAGAAAGAAGAGTCTTCCATCCGCAGGTTCACTCCCCAGTTGGCCACAATGACCAGAGCTGCGCTGATCCGAAGCCAGGAGCCAGGAGCTTCTTCCAGGTCTCCCACGCGGGTCCAGGGGCCCAAGGACTTGGGCCATCTTCTACTGCTTTCCCAGACCGTAGCAGAAAGCCGGATTAGAAGTGGAGCAGCCAGGATTTGAATCAGTGCCCATAAGGGATACCGGCACTGCAAGCGGTGGCTTTACCCTCTATGCCATAGCTCCGGCCCCGAGGGGTCAGCTATGTTTAAGGCTGTGGGACATTTGGGTGGATCTGAACCTGATTCTCAAAAGATGGCTAGGTTTCAGACCTGAAGCCTTGGGAGGAAGCACACTCCAGGCAAGGACAACGTCCTGAGCCAAGGCCCCAAGTGGAGCCAAGAACACAAGCTCCACACGGAAAGTGCCAGTTGCCTGGTCAGGTTGCGACATGGAAGGTGTGGGAGAGAGGGCGCCTTGTAACCTCCTGAGGCAGGAGAGGAAAGGTTGATGAGAATGACCTCTACCCTTGGCTTTTTTTTTTAAGATTGACTTATTTATTTGAAAGAGTTACAGAGAAGGAGAGAGGCAGAGGCAGAGAGAGAGAGAGCAAGAGAGAGATCCATCCACTGATTTGCTCTCAAAATGGCTGCAATGGCAGGGGCTGGACCAGGCCAAAGCCAGGAGCCAGGAGCTTCATCCAGGCCTCCCACGTGGGTGGAGGGGCCCAGGGACTTGGACCATCCTTCTGTGCTTTCTCAGGCACAGTGACAGGGAGCTGGATCAGAAGTAGAGTGACCGGGACTTGAACCAGTGCCCACATGGGATGCTGAGGCTGCAGGCAGCGACTTCACCCACTACGCTGCAGTGCTGGCCCCACCTAGGCTGGCAGCCCTGACCCTTCCTGCAGGTGCTCAGGTTTTACAGCATCTTTCCTGTCCAGGTCCCACCGTCTCTGTATTTGTGGGTGTTTATCGGCAACTCAAGTTAATTGCATTTCTGTATTTTTGGGGAAAAATTAACCTGATTTAAATGATTCTGTGTCAGGAGTGTGAAAAGTGACTTGACCACAGTGTCTCATTGTGGGCTATGGTTTGGGTGTGTTCCTCAAAGCCACGTGTAAGAGACCTGACTGCCGATGTGATAATACTAAGTATTAATCCTCTGTCCCTCTCAGGGTGTGCATTAGCAGGAAACTAGAATCAAGTGTGAACTGGGATTCGAATCCATGGACTTCTCTATGGAATGTGAGTGTCCCAAGTGGCACCATAACCACTGGACCAAACTCCCACCCGTGTCGGGTCCCTCCCTCCCTCCCTTCCTTCGTCTAACAAATTATTTTATTAATTAATTTATTTGTTGTGCTATTTGAGAGGCAGAGAGAGCACAAGAGAGAGTAAGAGAGAATCTTCCATCTGCTGGTTCAATCCACAAATGGGTGCAACAGCCAGAGATGGGCTGATCTGAAGTCAGGAGCCAGGAGCTTCCTCCAGGTCTCCCACGTGGGTGTCAGCATTTGGACCATCTCTGTAGCTTTTTCCAGGCACATTGGCAGGGAGCCGGACTGGAAGTGGAGCAGCCAGGACTTGAACCAGCACCCACATGGGATGTCTGCAAACGCAGGCAGCAGCCCTACCCACCACACCACAGTGCTGGCCCAGGTTCTGTGTCTTGGTCTGAGAATTAAACTAACAAGATTAACAGGAGAAAAGTATCACGTTTTATTTCATATTTTATGTGCACAAGAAACGTTATGAGGAAATAAAGAAGACTAATAGAGGCTGTTAGACCCTGAAACTTATATACCCTTTAAACAAAGAATGATCAATTGTGGGACAGAGCAGGTTGGGGGAAGGCTAGTAAACTGTGGGACCATGACTAGGAAATACACAGGGGAAACCAGGGGAGAATAGGGTTGCAAACTGTAGTGAGGTTTGGTTTGTGGATTCAACTCAGCATCAGCTCTGTCTCTGACAACAAGAATATTCTCTTCCTGGAACAGGGAGCACTTGATGCCACTCCATTGCTTTCAACCCCAAATAGTCAGCACATCAAGATGGCTTATCGGGCAAGGGCGTGCTCTGAGCCTCTCAGTGTTGCTCTGACCTTCGCCACTGCTCTCCGCGCCTCCTTCCCCTAACACCCAGGGGTGGCATTTCCTTTTACTGTTGGTGAGACAGACTTAGAGTGAAGATGACTGAGCCACAACCCTTTGTGCTCCAGCACCCTGCCCGGAGGCGGTGTCCAGAGAAGCTGTGATGGCCGTGGTCTGAGTTGCAGCTCTTCCATTGATCATCAATTAATAGTAAGCAAGGGTTGTAACTCACTCCAGGGTTGTTGTAGGTCCCCAGCCATTGCACTCCAGGTTCTTGCCCCATGTGAGAAAGAACTCTAAGCAGAGACGTGAGTGCAAGAAAGAGAGCAGAATTATGGAAAGAGGTGGAGAGTACACATTCAGGTGTGAAGGAGAGATGGGTGCCATGAGGAAAATCTAGTGCCCCCCTCAGTCTAGCAGTCCCCTTTATTGAGTAGCAGGTGACGCCCTAATCGAATGCACAAGTGGGGTGGGGCTCCGCGTGTGTGCTGTCCTCTGGGAAGCTTTCATGGCGTCTCCACGTGGCGCTCAGTGTACACTTACCTGTCCTGGCGTCTTTGTGCAGGAGGAGGCTGTAGTGCATGGTGGGAAAGCACGTGTACTGAACTGCATGCGGGGGGCGGAGTCAGGGGTGCTGGGCTAGAGACGGAAACTGTTGGACACCCCTCAGCCCCTTGGTTCCCTGACTGCCTGCCCAGCCCACACCAATGAGCACTAAATAAGACCATCTCCTGATGTCACAGTTCCAATAGATGCCCCCGCCCACAGCTATTTTTTAAGATCTTGCCAGCGATACCACGTTTAGGAAACCCAGGATCATGAAGAGGGTGTGTATCCACTGTTCAGCCAAGTGAGGCTCCTTTCTCTTGGAGGCCTGCACTGACCAGCGTTCTTAGAGAGGTGGCTTCTCTGGGCCGTGCCGCAGGTTAAGCCACCACTTGCAACACCTGCCTCCCATACTGAGCACTGGTTGGAGGCCCAGCTGCTCTGCCTCCGATCAAGCCTCCTGTTAATGCACCTGGGAAAGCAGAAGATGGTCCAAGCATATGGGTGGCCGCTACCCACGTAGGATACCGGGATGGAGCTCCGGCATCCTGGCTTCAGCCTGGCCCAGCCCTAGCTGTTGTGGCCAGCTGTTGATTCTCCAGTGTGGTCCTGGGTCTGCAAGGTTGCAAAACTGTTTCCCAACAACAGGAAGTTGGTTGTTCACCTTGTCTACCCTCTCACTGGTATAGTATTCAGAGGCTAGAGGGCAGACAAATGGCGTCATCGCACAATGGCTAAGCACTGTGTGCATGTCACCTCAGGCTTGGAAATGTCCCTCTTAACATCTGATACCTAAATGTCCATGAATAGAGCCCACATAAACAAAAGCAATGGGGAAGGGAGGGAGGCAACTGATAAATTTAATTTATTTTCAACTGACAAATTTTTACAGAAGGGTCCTGATTCAGACTGCCAGGTTCAACAAATAAAAATACAGGACTCCAGATAAATTTGAATTTAAGATCGACTACTACTGCATGGGATGTAGTCACACTAAAAAGTTATTCTTTTTTTAATGTGAAATCCGAATTTTACCGGTCATCGTGTATTTTACTCCCCAATGGCAGGCCTTCTTAAACCAAAAAGCTTGAGGCCCGCTCCCCCTAGCGACAGCAAGCTGAACTGCAGAGAGCCCCACTTCCTGCGGGGCAGCACTTCCGGCCAGGGGCTCTGGCTGCCTGCGCGTCGCCCCGCCCCTGGCCGGAAGCCGCTGGGGGCCGCGGCCCGGCTGCCCTCGCTGGCCAAGCCCCGCCGGTTCCCCGGGCCTGGTGCTGCGTGCGGAGCCGGCGGGACGCGCGTCCAGAGGGGAGCGGCCCGGGCCCGGGCCCTGCGTGGGCAGCCCGGCATCCTCGCCCTCGCCTGGAGTGGCGGACCGACCAGCGGGCGGCCGGGGCCGGCGGCCGCCATTCCCGTGTCGCTGCGCCCTCGGGGGCCGCCGGAGCCGGCAGCCATGCCGCTGGGCCTGAAGCCCACCTGCAGCGTCTGCAAGACCACGTCGTCCTCCATGTGGAAGAAGGGCCCGCAGGGGGAGATTCTCTGCCACCACTGCACGGGCCGGGGCGGCACGTCCGGCGGGGGCGCCGGCGCGGGGCCGGCCGGAGCGACTGGGGGCGGCGGCGGCGGCGGCTTCGGCGCGACCACCTTCGCCAGCACGTCGGCCGCCCCTCCGCAAAGCAACGGCGGCGGGGGCGGCAAGCAGGTGAGCTCGGCGGCCCGTCCCCCCGCCCGACTGCAGCTCCCGGTAGAAGGGCGCGAGGAAATCCCGAGCCCTTGCGCAGCCCCCCTGGGTGACGAGGCCGAGCGAAGGCTGCGGGGTCAGGTGCGGGGGCGGCGGCCGCGCCCGGGGCCTTCCTGGGCTCGGAACGCGGCGCAGCAGGGAGAGGTAAATGGACGCAGGGGAGCGGGCTCCTGGTAACTGCGTGCTTTGTTTACGCAGAGTAAGCAGGAAATCCACCGGCGGTCTGCTCGGCTGAGAAACACTAAATACAAATCCGCTCCAGCGGCCGAAAAGAAAGTGTCCACCAAAGGCAAAGGGAGAAGGCATATTTTTAAATTGAAAAACGTAAGTCGCGCGTGGACGGTGCCCCTGGCGCGGCGTTGCGTGTGCGCGCACCGTGCGTCCTGCCTCTGCCTGCGGGTCTCGCCGTTGCGCCCGCGCTCTGCCCTGGGAGCCCGCAGGTGGTTCTGGGGAGAGCCCAGGCTTCTGCACACGGTGGCCTCTGCTGCAGGGGGGTTGAGTCTAAAAGGGCCGGCAGTGTGGCTGTCAGTTGGGAGGGCGTGCTGCTCGGAGTCGGGGCTGCTCCACCTGCATTGATGGCAGGACTAGGGCTGGGATGACGGAACCCCGGAGTCAGGAACTCCATCCTCCCGTCCCACGTGGGTGGCAGGGACCCAGACACTTGAGCCGTCGCCTGCTGCTTCCCAGGAAGCTGGAAACAGGGGAGCAGCTGAGGCTGGAGCTGGCACTCGGATACGGGATGGCCGGTCCCGCTGCAGCTTAACCTGAGCTGTAGCACACGCCCATTTTTTTAATTTTAAGAACTGGACTGTGTTCTCTCTGATGAGTTCATTATCCGTGTCTGCATTCCAACCAACGTGGATTTGGAGAGGCGGTTTCTGTGTGGCATAGAAGCATCTGTTTCCGTGTTTCGGCGTCAGGCAGGCATTCAGCGGTTGGTGGAAGGTGGTGGATTCCTAAGAATGCCCAAGAAAGCCCTAAAGCTTTAGTTGAGGCTGGCTGCACAGTTGCTGCCCCTGAGTGTTGTCGCCAGCTCCATAGTTGGGACGGAAAAGGTGTCCAGGAGATTCGGACTCTGAATCCGCTGCACTGTTTTTATAACTTATGTTCTTTTTATTTATTTATTTATTTTTGACAGGCAGAGTTAGAGAGAGAGAGACAGATAGATAGACAAAGACAAAGGTCTTCCCTCCGTTGGTTCACCCCCAAATGGCTGCTACGGCCGGCGCACTGTGCTGATCCGATGGCAGGAGCCAGGTGCTTCTCCTGGTCTCCCATGGGATGCAGGGCCCAAGCACTTGGGCAATCCTCCACTGCCTTCCCGGGCCACAGCAGAGAGCTGGCCTGGAAGAGGGGCAACCGGGACAGAATCTGGCACCCCGACCGGGACTAGAACCCGGTGTGCCGGCGCCGCAGGCTGAGGATTAGCCTAGTGAGCCGCGGCGCCGGCCTGTAACGTACGTTCTGTTGTGCTCAGGCTGCTGGAGCCAGTCCGTGGTTGTGGTGGGTGTGTATGAATCCGGAAGGGCTTGTGTCAGTGGCGGCAGCAGAGGCGGAAGCTCTGAGAGTTCCTCTGCAGTTTGAGCCCCGTGGTAGCACCCAGGCTGCGTGACCGCGCCGCCCAGGCATCGGGTGCCATTCTGTTGCTGTTCTGTCCCCAGCAGCAAACGCTAGTGTTCCTCAAGCCACGGACCTTCGCGTACGGCTGGAAAAATGCTTGTGCACAGACGTGTTGTGAGCCTACTGACGTTGACGTTTTCGCTTTCCGTAGCCCATCAAAGCTCCCGAGTCGGTCTCCACCATAATCACTGCAGAGTCCATCTTCTACAAGGTGAGCTCCGGGGGCGTGGCATTTCGGGGTCTGAGTGCTGACCGAGGGCGCGGTGTGGGAGGTGACGCTTGGTCCTGACCCACGTGCACGGAGCCCTAGGCAGCTCAAGTGGCTCTGCCCTTCGAGTATACTTTTTCTTGTTAGCCCACAATCTGTATGGCTAAAAACAAGTCTGTATGCAGACAGACACCTCTATTTCCCGCGTTTCATACATTGCTAATAGTGAAGAGAGTGGCCAGCGTCTAATGCCTGCGTGCTCTGTATCGGTGCTGAGCTTTATTTCAAGGTCTGCTCTATGGGCTGGGTGTTGTTATCCTTGCTTTATGAATGAGCACCCTAGGCACAGAGAGGCGTACTAACTTGTGTTAGGTCACGCGACCCAGCGAGTGAAATGCCAGCGCCTGACTGCACACCTCACAGTGTTAGCAAGTGGCTGCGCGACTGTGCTAGGACCAGACTGTTCCTTCCTGTATAGAAGAGGGGCCGTAGATGGTAACCGTCTTGTCGGTCGAGTGAGCTCACGGATATTCAGCATTTAACAGGGTAAACCCTCCCATCTTCAAACCTCTCCATACTTTCCTTGCTGGACGAACAAGGACTTGATGGTCAAGTCCAGGATCCCCGGGAATTGTGATAACAGGTCCCACCTGCCCCTCCACCAGTGTCTTTGTGACGTGTGTCTCAGTGGAGAGTCGCGGGGGACTCGCCATCCCAAGTGTCAGTACTTGAGCAGCATGCGTTAAACAGTCATGGAAGCGCACGGCCCAGTGAAGCGTCTCGAGGGAGCCACGTGGGACCCGTCCGGGACGATGGCCCAGGGTGGTGAAGTGAGCTCCCTGGAGCATGCTGGGAGAGAGGCTCTGCAAGCTTGGGGCGCTGTGTTGTGTGGATGCCTTTTTTCTCTCCCAGCAAGCAAGGGGACGCCTTAGCTCAAGTGGCTCAGGCGTGTTTGTTGTGACATACGTGTCCTCAGCGCATGCCATTAAATCACTTGCCATGTGCTGTTGGACTCAGTGTCACTGAGACGTCGTCTTGGCATCTCAGTTCCACTTTCACACTACTACATATTTTGGATGAAGAGTCATGCACGTGTGTTTGAGGGCCTGTGCTAAACCAGTGCAGTCATTTGTAATTCGGGAGTAGTGATTATACCGTGGACAAAGCATTAGGTGACTTAGAACTTGCCAGTGGTGGCTGGGAGAGAGGACCAGCTGATGATGGTCGTGAGCCATCAGTAGCAGGCCCACTCGCGTTGCCTGAGCCGTCATCATGGTCCAGACGTGACAGTCCCTCTCAGACCCTGGGTTAGGGGCATGCTGGGAGAGCACAGGCCTGTCGGCCATTCCTGTTGCAGCTCGGTTACTGCGGGTCTTCAGATCATGTTTAGGGGGAGGCACATACGCCAGCCTCTGTTCCAGAGAACACAGTGATGAACCTCACTCCGTTGGTGTGAGTGAGGACGGTGTGACCTGTTGAGCACTGCACACACGTGAGGGAGCTCTGAGTGTCAAGGGTTTAGAGCAGCCATTGTGGATGTCCAGAGATGAGACGAGGGACTGGCGTGTGGCACCACAGTTCAGCCGGCACTCGGGATTCCGGTAGCCTGTATCAGAGTGCCTGCTTCTGAGACCTGGCTCCTCTGTTTCTGATCCAGTTTTCTTCAGTGCACACCCTGGGAGATAGCAGGTGATGAGACCAGATAAAGCTCCTAGCTCCTGGTTTCAGCCTGGCCGTGGGCTGTTGGTGGCCATTTGACGAGTGAACCAGTGGATGGAAGATTTTCTCTCTCTTCCCTTACTCCTATTTCAAATAAAAATGAAAACAAATTTAGCAACTTGTAAAAAGATTTATTTATTTGAAGTCAGTTATAGAAAAGGAGAGGCAGAGAGCGCATGCTTCCATCCACTGATTGACTCCCCAAATGGCCACAACAGCCAGGACTGGATCAAGTCAAAGCCAGGAGCTTCATCCAGGTCTCCCACGTGGGTGCAGGGGCCCAAGCACTTGGGCCACCCTCTGCTGTTTTCCCAGGTGCATTAGCAGGGAGCTGGATTGGAAGTGGAACAGCTGGGACTTGAACCAGTGCCCATATGGGATGCAGGCGCTACAGGTGGCATGTTTTTTTTTTAAGATTTATTTATTTGAAAGAGTTACACAGAGAGAGGAGAGGCAGAGAGAGAGAGAGGTCTTCCATCTGCTGGTTCACTCTCCCAATTGGCCGCAACCGCCGGAGCTGTGCCAATCCCAAGCCAGGAGCCAGGAGCTTCTTCTGGGTTTCCCATGCAGGTGCAGGGGTCCAAGGACTTGGGCCATCTTCTGCTTTCCAAGGCCATAGCAGAGAGCTGGAGTGGAGGTGGAGCAGCTGGGACTAGAACCAGCGCCCATATGGGATGCCGGCGCTTCAGGCCAGGGCTTTAACCCGCTGTGCCACAGCGCTGGCCCCTACAGGTGGCATCTATCTGCTGTGCTACAGCATCAGCCCCTAAATAAAAATTTTAAGGAGAGATTGTTTGAAGAGCCAGGGAAGAAGATGTGAATGGAAGGCAGAGGTGTAGGAAGCATTAACACAGGATGTGTGTAGCTGCGTTAGTCGTATATAACATGGATAAGACACAAGGCCTTGAAGGCCAGAAATGCCAGTAGTTGCAGCGTGGGGTGATGTGAAACACAGAGAGCAGAGGCGGTGGGCAGCAGCAAGTTTAGGAAATGGACAGCACGTTGAGGGTAAACATGTCCTGGAGATATTACTGTCGCAAGAGTTTCTGTCATTCCTTTGGTTTGAACTGAATGGTATCTGTTTCCTTGGAGTAGGTGGTTGGGGTGGGAGGTGTGCAGGTCTGTTCTCAGAGGTACGCGCTGGTGTCCGGGCAGCGCAGAGAGGCCAGGGTGCTGACCTAGGAGCTGCGGCTGCAGTGTCCCCCTCAGAGCCCTTAGCGGGTCTCGGCCTTTCCGCAGCACCATGACTGTGGCACTGTGGGGGCGGCCCAGCACCCAGGGTGGCCCTCCCCGCGGCCGTGGTCTGTGGCTGTCAGCGAGGGCTCCTCCATGTGCCGGGCGTTCTGGCCGCCACGGAGGGTGCTGGGGATGCAGGAGGATGTGCAGGGTGGCGGTGGAGGGCGTGTGAAGTCTGTGCCTCGGGTTTGCTCTTGCTGTGAACCTAAAACTGCTCCCAGCAAATGAAGGCTGCTTTTCTTCAAGGCAGCACTGCTGTGATGCAGCGTCAAAGCACTTGTTTGGATGAACTCTGTTCCAGATGCAGATGATCACATATGCCTTGCATATCTGTTTCTGATTTCTTTAAATCATTTTAGAATTGGTTTCAAGCATATACACATTGACGCTGGACCATCTCCAAGACCTTTTGTTGACCACTTTAAACTTCGATGGTAAGGCGGGCCTCACTGATTCAGAGCTGTGATGCTGTTCTTCCGTGATGGGATACTCCTCTTTCTCCCAGGGTGTGTATTACCAAATTGGCGACGTGGTTTCTGTGATTGATGAGCAAGATGGAAAGCCCTACTACGCTCAGATCAGGGGTTTCATCCAGGACCAGTACTGCGAGAAGAGTGCGGCTCTGACGTGGCTCATTCCCACTCTCTCCAGCCCCAGAGACCGGTTTGATCCTGCATCCTATATCATAGGTGAGTTTGACACTCAGAACAGCTTCTTGAACTTGGCTAAGTCTCCAGTATTATACGAAAGAGTGCATTAGTCTTTTTTGGGCAGTTGTGACAAAATACCACAGACTGGGTGGCTTAAGCAGTGGGAATTTGGTTTTCCACTGTTCTGGAGTCTGGAATTCAAGATCCAGGTGCAGCCAGGGCTGGTTTCTGGGGAAGGCTTCCCTCCTGGCTTATAGGTGATTTTTTTTTTTTTTTAATTTATTTATTTGAAAGAGTTACAGAGAGGTGGGGACAGAGAGATCTTCCATATACTGGGTCACTCCCCAGATGGTTGCAACGGCTGGAGCTGAGCTGATCAGAAGCCAGGAGCTTTTTCCGGGTCGCCCGTGTGGGTGCAGGGGCCCAGGTCCCCGGGCCATCCTCTGCTGCTCTCCCAGGTGTGCTAGCAGGGAGCTGGTTCAGAAGTGGAGCAGCCAGGACTCGAACCAGTGCCCATTTGAGATGCTGGCGCTGCAGGCTGGGCTTTGTCAGTGCACCACAGCACTGGCTGTAGGTGAATGCTTTGTTGCCATGTCCCCTTAGGGTTTCCTCTGTGTGTGCACGTTGTGGGAGAGCTCCTGTCAGATGAGGGTCCTGCTCCTGTGACTTCGTTTCACCTTAGTTACCTCCTGGAAGGTCCCAGCTCCAAAGGCCATCATGTTGAGGATTAGGGCTTCCCCACGGGATTTTGTGTGGGGACACAGCAGTCGGCACCAGCAACAGGAACGCGGGAGCATCACTGAGTACAAAGAGGGCCGTGCAGAAGGAGCGAGGGGCATTTAATGGAGCTGATTTGAGGCCATCAGCTGTTCTGGTCAGAGCAGCGTCACCTACCCAGAAGTGATGTGGACGGGACTTTCCTGAGTGGCCTGGGTGTACCGAAAGAACTTCCTGCTGAGGAACTAGGATGTCTGAGTTTCTTGTAAACATATATTCAAAAATAATTTTAAAGGGGCCGGTGCTGTGGCATAGCAGGTAAAACTGCCGCCTGCAGCGCTGGCATCCCATATGGGTGCCAGTTCAAGTCTTGGCTGTTCCACTTCTGATCCAGCTCTCTGCTATGGCCTGAGAAAGCAGTAGAGGATGACCCAAGTCCTTGGGCCCCTAAACCCATGTTGCAGCCACCTGGGGAGCGAACCAGTGTATGGAAGACTTCTCCGTCTCTGCCTCTGCCTCTGCCTCTCTGTTAACTCTGCCTTTCAAATAAATAAAAAAAAACTTTAAAAAAATATTAGTTTTTGAAAGAACTATTCCAGTTATTTCTGAAATATTACAGGGGGTCCGTAGGTGTCCCTCTGAATGTGGCACATGTCATCCTAGATGTCCTTTTGGAGCATATCGCTGTTGACAGTTGAAATGTCAGCTCCTGCACTTTTATGAAGTTCAAGGCTGCTAAGAGACTGACGATGGTTTTTGACGTAGACTTAAACAAAGTTATTGATTAATACAAGTTTGGAAGTATTCAGATTTTTTTTAAGATTTATTTTAGGGGGCCAGCGTCGTGGCTCACTTGGTTAATCCTCTGCCTGCGGTGCCAGCATCCCATGTGGGCGCCGGGTTCCAGTCCCGGTTGCTCCTTTTCCAGTCCAGCTCTCTGCCGTGTCCTGGGAGGGCAATGAAGGATGGCCCAAGTGCTTGGGCCCTGCACCCGCATGGGAGACCAGGAGGAAGCACCTGGCTCCTGGCTTCAGATTGGCGCAGTGCCGGCTGTGGCAGCCATTTGGGGAGTGAACAACGGAAGGAAGATCTTTCCCTCCCTCCCTCCCTCCCTCCCTCTGTCTCTCTCTCTCTGTTTATAACTCTGTCAAATAAAATTTAAAAAAAAAATTATTTTATTATTTATTTGAAAGAGTTATAGAGAGAGGTAGAGACAGAGAGGTCTTCCATCCGCTGGTTCACTCCCCAGATGGCTGCAACGGCCAGAGCTGAGCTGATCCAAAGCCAGGAGCCAGGAGTCTCTTCTGGGTCTCCTACATGGGTGCAGGGGCCCAAGGACTTGGGCCACCTTCTACTGCTTTCCCAGGCCGTAATAGAGAGCTAAATTGTAGAGGAGCAGCCAGGACTCGAACTGGTGCCCATGTGGGATGCTGATGCTTCAGGCCAGGGCTTTAACCTGCTGCGCCACAGCGCAGGCCCCCGTATTCAGATTTTTAAAAGTTAATCCTGGGGCCAGTGCCATGGCTCACTGGTTAATCCTCCTTTGGCGCCGGCATCCCACATGGGCGCCAGGTTCTAGTCCTGGTTGCTCCTCTTCCAGTCCAGCTCTCTGCTGTGGCCCGGGAAGGCAGTGGAGGATGGCCCAAGTGCTTGGGTCCTGCACCCGCATGGGAGACTGGGAGGAGGTGCCTGGCTCCTGGCTTCGGCACAGCGCCGGTTATAGTGGCCATTTCGGGGGTGAACTAACGGAAGGAAGACCTTTCTCTCTCACTCTCACTGTCTAATTCTATCTGTCAAATAAATAAATAAAAATTTTTAAAAAAGTTAATCCAGGCCGGCGCCGCGGCTCACTAGGCTAATCCTCCGCCTAGCGGCGCCGGCACACCGGGTTCTAGTCCCGGTCGGGGCGCCGGATTCTGTCCCGGTTGCCCCTCTTCCAGGCCAGCCCTCTGCTGTGGCCAGGGAGTGCAGTGGAGGATGGCCCAGGTGCTTGGGCCCTGCACCCCATGGGAGACCAGGAAAAGCACCTGGCTCCTGGCTCCTGCCATCGGATCAGCGCGGTGCGCCGGCCGCAGCGCGCCGGCCGCGGCGGCCATTGGAGGGTGAACCAACGGCAAAGGAAGACCTTTCTCTCTGTCTCTCTCTCTCACTGTCCACTCTGCCTGTCAAAAAAAAAAAAAAAAAAAAAAAAGTTAATCCAAGCCGGCGCCGCGGCTCACTAGGCTAATCCTCCGCCTGTGGCGCCAGCACCCCAGGTTCTAGTCCCGGTTGGGGCGCCGGATTCTGTCCCGGTTGCTCCTCTTCCAGTTCAGCTCTCTGCTGTGGCCCGGGAGTGCAGTGGAGGATGGCCCAAGTCCTTGTGCCCTGCGACCCGCATGGGAGATCGGGGGTGGGGGTGGGGGCCTGGCTCCTGGCTTCGGATTGGCACAGCGCGCCGGCTGTAGTGCCCATTTGGGGGGTGAGCTAGCGAAGGGAGGACCTTTCTCTGCCTGTCTCTCACTGTCTGACTCTGCCTGTCAAAGAAAAAAAGTTAATCCTGAACTTCTTAGTTTTCCTCTAATTGCTATGCATTACCTTTGCATTCTAAGGAAAGAAACATGTAGATGATTTCTCAGAGAGAACAGCAGGGACAAGTAGTCAGCACCGTCACTCAGCTGCGGTTACATTAGACACAGCAGTGGCCTTTGCTTCAGTGGAGAGGACCCAGCAGGGTAGAGGGTGCCTCCCCTGCCTGGTCCCCGGGTGCACGCATCACAGCCAGCCTGTCTGCGCCCAGCACCTCCACCTTTGGCAAGGTCCCTAATCTCTGTCTTGCCTCACTTTCCTCCCATGGGAAATGGGAGCAGCGCTAGTGCCTCCCTCAGGGATGTGCTGTGGAGACCTGAGACTGACTTAGAGCAGTGTGGCATCTAGCACTAAATGCCGTCCCCAGTGCGCAGTGTCGTGTTCAGAATCTGCTCTCTGTTGACTCGCTGTTTTAGGGAGAAGTCAGCTCCTTACACGGTTAAAAGAGTAAATGCAGAGCAGTGCCCGTCCCACGGTCTGATGTCAGGTCCCCCCAGAGAGCGTTCTCTAAGCATCGAGCAACTTCAGCATGTTACGAAGATTGTGTATGTACAAAAGTGCATGTGCTCTTTCATTGGCTGCCTTCTAGGGCCAGAAGAAGACCTCCCAAGGAAGATGGAATACTTGGAGTTTGTTTGTCATGCACCTTCTGAATATTTCAAGTCACGGTCATCACCTTTTCCCACGGTTCCTACCAGACCTGAGAAGGGCTATATATGGACTCACGTCGGACCTACTCCTGCAATAACTATCAAGGAAACGGTTGCCAACCATTTGTAGTTGGAAACTTGCAGTGGGAGGGCGCCAGTTGGGAAGCCACAGCCCACATCAGAGGGCCTGGGCCCAAGGCCTGGCTCCCCTCCGCATTCCAGCTTGCTGCTAATGTGCACCTTGGGAGGTAGCAGGTGATGTATCCAGCACTTATGTCCCTGCCACCCGAGTGGGAGACCCAGGTGGAGTTCCGCACTCCTGGATGTGGCCTGGCCCAGCCCTGGCACTGCGGGCATTTGGAGAGAGAGCTGGCAGGTGGGAGCTCCCCCCTTTGCCTGCCTCTCTGTGTGTGTGTCTCTGTCTCTCGATAGGAAAAAAATAATTAGAACTGGATTTCCAGTTATCTTGTACTCATATTATTACAAGATAATGCCATATGTTTCTTAAATGAAATTTTTAGCTGGAAAAATGAGTAAGTTACAGTTTTTTTCCCTACTACCCGATAATCATTATCATCTTCATTGCTGGTCATTTAAAGAATTAAGAGGAATAGAAAATAATGGACTGTATTTGAGGTTAAATACTACCTTCTGTATGTGTGTTTTCACAGGCAAGGTCTGTAAAGCCCAGGGAGACCATTGACAGCAGGTAGTTTCTATTTTTTTCTCCATAATTTATTCCTAGAAACTCATAAAATGGGATTGTATTTTTCTATAAGAACAAAATATTATGGTTTAGATTTCTGACCAGCATCTTAGCCACGTAAAATGTAGCTGTGACCAATAGTGTCCATCATCAAACCACGCAAGCCTTATTCTGTGATCTAGAATTGATTTTTGGCTGCTTCAGCCATGAGTTAAGTGACTGGTGGGTGATTTTATTAGTCCAGTCTTTTTTAAACTTGTATCTGCTTCTGTTGCAAACGGGCACTATCAGTCGTGTAGTGAAACCATTTGCTGTGGACTCAGCCTGGACCGGACAGGCCTGTTGTACAGAAGTGTCCAGAATTCAGCTGCAGGTCTTAGTTCATGTGCAGGTCGATTAAGTAGAGGAGCAGCAGCATGGGCATAGTGGGAAACGGGGTGGCACACACGTGCCTCTACTCTCCCGGTTTAACCAGTGTTTTCAGTCAGGGTCTCATCTGATCATAACAATTTTGAGCTGAGGCACCATTCAACTGTTACCCTTTCTGCCCTGGTTGGTTTGTATTTTGGGAAGAAGCAACTGTAGACAGCTCTGTGTGTATAGGTGCGTTTCTATTCATAACAGCTAGAGTAAAATTGACTGTAAATACCTTTGTATATAATTTCCTAAATGCTGTTGTTCACAATTTTGGATTAAAATGTGTTTTTCACCAAGTATTTACTTTGGACTTATTTTGATTACTTATTTCATTTAAATACCTTAAATAGAACTTCCTTCCAAATATCGTGTAAATAGGAAACCCAGTGTTGTAGTCCTTAGAATTTGTAGTAAATAAACTGATCATTGGTAAGTAGTTGGTGTAGATAAATTCATCATCACTAACTAATAAAATTTAGGGAATTCAAAGAAGGGCTGATTGATAAAATGAACAGTTAATGTATTTGTGAAAATAAGGACATTGAGAAAAGCCATGTGTGTCGTAGGGTGGGAAGTGGCCTACAGGTCGGCAGACACGTGCAGTGCCTTCTAAGATCAGGATGCGTCTGCTTCCTTCCTCAGCAGTCCAGGGTGCTCCCGTGGCTTCCTGCCCATCCCTGGGACGGCCCAGTCTGCATCCCCAGCCTCGTCTCCCTCTTCCCCCGCTGTTGCCCTGTGCACCCTCGCCTCCTGGCTCTGTGCCCTTGTCCTGTTGGTCCTTCCCGCTTCACCGCAGGTCTTCGGCATTTTAGTTGATAACTGGTTCATATAAATTTAGCTTTAACGTGAAATTCCACTGAAAATAGTCAAGTTGAATTTCAGATGGCTACAATCTGGGTTAGTATTAGGTTGTTTGACAGATTATTTTAACATTGTTTTTTAAGCTATTTAAATAGTTTTCTGATCTTGTGAGTATTTGAAAACATTCCAAACAATACCGGTTCTTGGCTATGAAAGGCTTTCCCAGGACTGATGAGTGGTCCACAGGAAGTTTGAATCACAGTGCCATTTCAGCTGTAAGTAGGTGGACTCCTGTGAACCGCGGTGGGAGTGTTATTTAATGCATGTGTGTAGTGTTTATCCATGCGTCTCTTTCTACAGAAGGTTATACTGTGTGCTCAGAATGGCGTTTCTGTCACAAACCACAACAGGGAGAGGCACTTTCTGGATTTCATTTGGTTGCCCTGGGCACGTTAAAGAATTGTGCTTGCCTCTTCCTTCCTGACAGATGTGGAGCCATGCATGTATACGTCCTTGGAGGAGAATGCTTAAATTGCAATGCGCTGTGGAATGGAATGGCATACAGCCATGCAAGGTGAAAGCTGTCCATGGCGGAAGGGGCCCCGTTGGAAGGAGGAGAAGCGGAATGTGGAGCTGCCTGCAGGGTGTCAGCGGGAACGGGCTTTGGAGCTATGCTTTGTGCTTTATACTTTCTTGGGGTTTTATTTATTTGGAAGCAGAGAGTGGGGGAGGGAGAGAGCTTCCATCTGCTGGTTCACTTGCCAAATTCTCTCAACAGCCAGGGCTGGGCCAGGCTGAAACCAGGAGCCAGAACTCCATTTGGGTCTCCCGCATGGATCACAGGAACCTGAGACATCATTTGCTGCCTCCCAGGTACGTCGGCAGAGCCGGGAGCCTTTCCCAGACATTCCAGCGGGGGCTGTGGCAGCCTAAGCAGTGGCTCCACCCACTGCGTTTATTTGCACACTGCCCACCTGGCACAGAGGGACCTCTGGTTCCTTATGTGTGCATGTTTGGGATACATTACACACAGTACTTCTCAGACCTTTGCAAGCGGAATGAATGAAAAGCTAAGAAACTAAATTCAGTGATGTAATTGTTTTCCTCCTCAAATTGTGATTCTAGAAAAATACCAGTCCATCACTTGCTGCCTCCCAGAGTTCTTCCCTAGTTTTTCCTTTGTGTTTTTATCAACCCCTGGGCCAGAGGCAGGTGTGACTTCTTCAGGGCCTCCCACGTTACCTGAGTTGGAGGTGTCCAGGGTGACAGGTTCAGGTTCACCGCCTCTCCTCTTCAAGTCTGTGGGGAAGCAACAGCCTGTCCCACAGTGTCTCACACTGGGAAAGTGACAGATTGGATCATCTAAAAATCTATACATGAAATTAGAGACCAGGCAACAAGAAGGGAAACAGCTGGCTTGTGCGGCTGTCGGCTTAGGTTCCTTGTCGTGGGGGCCTCGGCGTGGCTCTGCCCGTGACGGGAGGCTGTGTGGACTGCAGGACGGCAGCCCTAGTCTGTAACCCAATCTGGAAACAACACACCCTAACTTGTGCCATGTGCTGTGTAGAAGGGAGTTCTGGGGCAGAGACCCAGGGCCTTTTTCTCTTTTTTTAAATTTTATTTTATTTACTTGAGTGGTAGAGTTACAGACAGTATTTGTATTTGGTAGTGAACCAGTGCATGGGTACTCACTCTGTCTCTGTTGACTAAATGAGTTTTTCAAAACCAAACCCTTAGAGAAGTCAAAACACCATTAATCCTTAGGTAACTGATCCCCATGGATAGCAAAAGTGTGAATACAAAAAGACAAACTTTAGAATAAAGGGTCATGCCTCTATTTAAAAAGCAGTATTTTTCGGTCCGTCAGTTATGTATGCTTACATAAGAGGCCTTTCAGGCCATCAGTTCTCTTTGCAGAGGTAGTAGAGAAACAGTTTAGTCCTGGATGAGCTGTAAACCAGACGCTGAGGCCCCCAGCAGATTGCAGAGTTGTAAAGGAATTCACCCTTTTATATGGCTCAGCAGATGCAGTTCGTCACCTGCATGTGTTCGAGAAAAGCAATAGCTGTCCTCAACTGAGTGCTGTAGCATCCTGACACAGAGGCTTCCCTGACCACCACGCCCCCCACCCCCCGTGGCGGAGATGAGCTGTTTGGGCTCCCTTGGTTGTGAAAATAAATGAAAAATTTTTTTCTTTTTTTGAGCTTATTTATTTGAAAGGCAGAGTTACACACAGAGAAGGAGAGGCAGAGAGAGAGAGGGGTCTTCCATCTGCTGGTTCACTCCCCAGTTGGCCACAATGGGTGCAGGGCCCAAGGACTTGGGCCATCCTCTACTGCTTTCCCAGACCATAGCAGAGAGCTGGATCAAAGTGGAGCATCCGGGACTCAAACCTGTGCCCATATGGGATGCTGGCAATGCAGGCAGCAGCTTGACCCGTTATACCACAGCGCCGGCCCCCAAATACAAATCTGTAATACAAGGGCCTTGTACGGAAAATGGGCAAAGAGTATACACTAAAAATTCACAGAAATACAAATAAATATAAATACAAAGTCAAGCTCAAGCCAGCAATCTGAAAAATGCAAAAGTGATTTTTAAAACAGAAAAGTAAAAGTTTCTGGTTAGCTTTGCAAATGTGCTGTTTGCCAGTGTCGCGTTGGTGAGGCTGATGGGAAACGGACTTGGAGCAGTGTTAGAGGTTTGTGTTGACACAGCCGCCTTTGGGAGGAACTGGGGCAGGCTTTACTACAGTGTTTAGTGGACCTGTCTTTCATCCCAGCGGTTCCACTTCCGGGCGTCTGCCCCTGAGAGTGAAGAGGCTTGGAACAAGGGCAGTAATGCAGTGGAGTTTGAAATCTCTCAGGAGAACAAGTGAAATAAGTTGAATGTGTGGGCTCAGATACCTGGCAGGCGTCGAAAGGAAGATGTGTGAACGTAGAAAACATATTTGTCAGTAAAAAAGCCAGTACCTGTTCCATTGATGTCAACAGCAGGTAGCAACAGCGTGATGCATTCTACGTGGCAGGTGGCTTCAGAAAAATTCATGGGCAGGGGCCTGTGTTCTCACACAGCAGGTTAAACCCCTGCTTGTGACATGGGCATCCTGTATGTGCTCCTGTTCAAGTCCCAGCTGCTCCACTTCTGAACCAGCTTCCTGCTAATGGGCAGGAAGTGGCAGAAGATGGCCTGCGTACTTGCGCACCTGCTGCCCACTGAGGGACTCGGAGGGATTCTACACTCCAGGCTTCAGCCTGGCCAGGCCCCGTCTGTTCAGGTGGTTTCGGGAGTGAACCAGTGGATGAAAGATCTGTCTCTCTCTCCAACTCTACCTTTCCAACAAGTAAATCTAAAGAAAATCTTCATGGACAAATGGAAATGAAAGATATGTTCCTTTTCCATGAACTTTGTAAAACTTCCTTGTATATGAAGTTACTTAAAATGGTCATGGAAAATGCTATTAAAAGACCTTTATTTTGCTGGAAAAAGATTCAAAATCCAAGCACAGTTTTTTGATAATGTGACTTTTCCATGGACTTCTTGAAGACCCCTCCACCCCTGTGTAAATACATAAATTTGTCCAGAAGACCGGGCTATTCCCAGCAGCGTGTTTGGGAGGCACAGACATTAGGAAGGTGACCCAAGCAATATTTTTTTTTCCCCATGAGATTTGTTTTACCAGAATTCTTTGCATTTGCTTACAGGGGAAATTGTTTATTTGTGAAGTTCAAAATTCTTAAATAATATCTTGATGGAGAAATGGTACCAAGGTTGCTATTCTTTGAAAGAATATTTGTTTGTTTGTTTATTTGAAAGGCAGTGTGACAGAGATCTTCAATCTGCTGGGTCCCTCCCCAAGTGGCCACAGTAGCCAGGATTAGGCCAGGCCAAAGCGAGGAGGCTGGAGCTCCATCTTGGTCTCCCCTGTGGGTTGCAGGGGCCCAAGTAGTTAGACCATCATGTGCTGCCTTCGCAGGCGTGTCAGCAGGGAGCTGGATTGGAAGCTGAGTAGCTGGGACTTGGACTGGCACTCCAGTACAGGGTGCCAGTATCACAGGCAGTGACTTGACCCAGTGTGCCACAGTGTCAGCCCCACAAGGGTACTAGTTACTAACTTTTTTTATTATATCAAAATTGAGTTTATTTTCTCTCATTTCCGATTGAGTTTTTCTTGGGTAAATGAAAGCCCGGGTACCATCTCTTCACACTGTGAGAGACCTGCTCAGCTGCCAGTGCCGGCTTTTTCCTTAAATGTCTGGTTTCTATGCTTTAATTTTAAGAGCAAGAAAGGGAATGTTGGTGACCGGCACCGTGGCTCAATAGGCTAATCCTCCGCCTTGCGGCGCCAGCACACCCAGTTCTAGTCCCGGTCGGGGCACCGGATTCTGTCCTGGTTGCCCCTCTTCCAGGCCAGCTCTCTGCTGAGGCCCGGGAAGGCAGTGGAGGATGGCCCAAGTGCTTGGGCCCTGCACCCCATGGGAGACTAGGAGAAGCACCT